ACAAATACCCCAAAATTCTGAGTGTTTACTCTTGTCTGATACATCTGCGAGATCGGCAGAGCAGTGTAATTTTTTTTAGACTACAAAGGCTTTTTTGGCTGGATGGATGATACAGTAGATTAATCTGGTGTGTTGTCTGCTGGGCTTGAAGAGTGCAGTTTTTGTGGCATAATAACCCAGTGGCCTTAATCCAGCTTCACAACCAGGGGGGGGGGGGGGGGGGATTCCACTGGAGATATCCCACTCTTTATACCTTCCTTTGGCGCTGGAGGGCACGGAAAGATGCCACATCTGTTGCCTGTCGTCTGAGCCACACAATGAGGGGAAAAAAGTGTTGTGCTGAAGGGAAACAATGATTAGAGATGGCGTTTTTTTTTTTTTTAAAGAAAGAAAAGAAAACATTTTCTCCTTTTAGATGCCCGGGAGCGCACCGTGTTTTTATGCAGGCGGACTGTCAGATGGAACGGGAGGCCAGATTTCACCCAGGTTTTGCCTTGATGAAACACATATGAAGGCGTCTAAAAGCAGCCCCAAAGCGGCTTTTCCATCCGAGCCTGCAGCCGCCTGCGAGGAGCTGAGACTCTGATGCTATGTGGCACTTCTGTGCCATACATGTGTGCCACACATTTCTGCTATAGAAGCAACAGCAAAGTCTTTATTAAGCCCTGGAGATGCCACCAGACATGGATGCTTACGGTTAAGCGAGCATCCCGTGGGCTTCATGCTGGAATTGTACCATTTGTGACCCCGAGTTCATCCTTGAAGGAACATTGCAGATACAGATGCTTATCTTTCTCACATCGAAGTAAAAACTGACATATAGGACAGATTTAATGGCGGACAACCTGACACTGACAATAATCAGTGACAGTTGCAGCAGCTGGGTGGGATTCAGAGGAAATGTGCAGACTATGCTGCAAAGCGCCTTAGTGCCTCATACAATTTAATAATGATCACAGTCGAGGTCAGAAATAGGGGATATTTGAATGTTGATAAGTGATATATAAAAAAAAAAAGCTTTGAGGGGCACAGATTTCTGGGGGGATGAGCTTGAGCTTTTTGGGCTTGACCGTATTAGGGTGGGGGATGTTCAAGTTGTCAAACACGGTGGAGATAAAACTGTCCTAGAAAAAGTCATTTTTTAAAACGCTGTCTGATTCTTATTATTGGGTACATTTTCTATGGAATCCTAAAAATAGTTAGTTAAGACAGTTCCTCACATTGTCACACGCAGCATTCCTGGCATACCAAAACTGGATGGCTTTGCTATACGTACAGTAGATTACACAATGAGCAAGAGCAACCAAAAGCAGAATCTCTGTGATAGCTTGGTTTCTGCTGGTGATGCAGATATCCTGCTACTTCTTATCCTTTTGCACTTAGAACATACATCAGTGCTTCTGTGTTTTTTTATATATATATATATATATATTTTGATAAAAATTCCTGGTCCTGCTGTTTATTAGTTACCAAAACTTGCGTGTATTTAATTAATTTCTGAAATCTCTACATTGTTGTAACGTTGCAGTCTACAAAGGGAGATTTGTTCTTAGCTTTCAAGTTTATGCGTCAGAATACGATCACCTGTCCCCTGTCGGCCCGTCTGAAACCTAATATCTCGGCCCCCTGTCAGCAGCTGATGTGCCACAGGATTGCGTGTTGTTGCTCTTCCTGTACATCCCGTCCCTGCTGTGCTGAATGGAAGAACAAACCAGGCCCAGTCACAGGCATTGTCAGTTTGATATCGAAATTTAAGGGGTATGAAACCCTTTGACGTCCTCTTAATTCTTTCCCCTCTCTCCCACACACTCTCATCATAATCAACCTGAGTGCAGCTAATTGCCTGAGTGTAATCTACAAAGAGGATCTTTTTTTCTTGTTTCAGGAGAGCATCTTACAGACAAAAGATTTGGGGGGGAAAAACGAGGGTACTTTTGAATGGACGTGGGAGTCGCTGTGCAGCTCTCCAGCTGAGCTGCTGCTTGTGATTCAGCACAGATTTTGTGTGAGACATACTTGCTGATGCCCACCTCTGCCTTGGTAGCATGAGATGTCTCAGTTTGGCTCAGGGGTTATAGTTCTTCCTTTTTTTAACCCTATGTAACTTCAGAGCATATATACTAGCCTGTTGTTCTTAGTTCCGGCAGCTGGTCATGCTGAGTGCACTTTCCCCAAACTGGCCTCTGTGTTAAGTCCACAGGAATAAGAGCTATTTATTCAACAGAGTCAGTGGGACATTGAATCCTAAATCTCTTCCCTTCCTCTCGCTTCACTGGCTCAATTATGATCCCAATCACAGCAGCACCTACCACCAGGAAATGCCATGTGCTGAATGGAAGTCAGTGAATGGCTGAATAAAGAATGACTGAAGAAGTCAAATAGGAAGTGTCAAAATGGGGAGAATTTTTAAAAAAGAGATGGGGGGTGGGGGGGTATTTTTGTGTCTGGAACTCTAAAGCAGATAAACTTTTGAGTGTGTTGCATATTAATACCCACACAGATAAACAAGCAGCAATGCATCGGTGTGTGTGTGTGTGTGTGTGCCTGTCTCACTCCTGTTTTTAGCTAAATCACCTGTGCATTACTTCCTGTAAAACCCATGGCACAAAACTGTTAACCTGGCCCTTTAATCCACCTAGCTGGAATATGCTTCTCTTCGCTGGTATGCTGCCAGCCCTGTGGTGGCCATGCATTGTTGCCTGCCTGTTTATAATGTCCCATTGTTTTGGGTGGGGTTTACTTTTGCCTGTATGAAGACCTGCCCTAAAAACCTGGAACAGAAAAATCAATGAAGAACAGAAAAACAGTCCAACTCCAGAAGTCAGTGGAGCAAAGTGCTCCACCTTCTTCAACATATTTTAAGTGTTTTTCCTTTTAACTCCTACAACCCGGTTCCACAGATTTTGCTCTGCTGTGCAAAGACGTTGGTTCTGAACGAGGCAGGGCTCCTGACACACACCTCTACTGTTTTGTGAAGTTGCTCTGCATCTTTGCTAACTACATCATGTCCTCTGTGTTTCATCTCTGGGTCTCTTCTCTTTGATGGACTGGCCTTCTGCGTGAAAAAGGAAACAACCCAAGGTATGTGTGTTTCATCCATTCATCTCTGTGTAAAGGCAAACCAGTCGAAGTTTAGCACATCTGAAGTGACTGCTTGCTCATTGTTCCGGCACTGCAGAGGATGGGCAGCGCCGTTCCCTCTGTAGGCCCGAGAGGTCGATCCCACTGCCGTGACATTGTTTCCAGGGACATGATTGAGAGTGTTTTTCTGGTTTGGTTGGTCAGCAGGAGCCGGATGGATGTCCGTGTGAATGTGTCAGGGCTCTAAGATCTCGTGAACACCCACAAAGGCTCTACAATGAGAGAGGGATGAGCGCAGACATTGGGGCTGTGTGTGCGCGCATTCAAAGCTGCATTGTTGGAGTGCACCCCCACTTCCCCCCTTGACGACACGCTGGTGACTAGCTCAGAGATGCTTCACAAACCAGGGAGGGGCTTTGTGCTGGGTGCACCCAGCCCCCTGACTGGACCGGGGGGGCAGTGGTCTGGGCCGCATGCGTGCGGAGCTCTCTGGGGGCATGTGAACCTGATCTGGCCTGTAATAACCCTCGCTTAGACAAGCACGTGGCTGTCTGCTAAGTTCTGACACTCAAATGATCCCCCCCCTCCCTGCATTCTTAAGTGCAATCCCTTTCAACTAGGTTTCATCCTAGAAAGGACAAAAAGAGCTTTGTACTTATCAGCTTCATCACTATTTGTGCTGCTGATTAATAGTAATTGTCCAATCAAGAGCAATTTGTTGTGCAATCACACCCTGAGGCTGGACAATGACAGACCAAAGCACACGGAAGCCCCAGTTACCAAACCGGTCCTAATTGAGAATGATGGTACTTTTGTTCTTTTGAATGGCACCCACTCACTCGTCTGAAGTCAGAAGAGGAGTTTTTGCTTTCATAGCATTCAGTGATCTCACTGCTTCCCATGCTGACCGTGCAGCCACTGGTGGCTGGCCCCAAGCCCTGATAATAACTGAAAGGGGAGTTCAATTATTTTGTGGTATTTGTGTCTGAAAAGGGATTTTGCCAGAGCAGGAAAGGTGCACTAAAAGGCAGTAGTGCATGGCACTGCTGAGAAAAAGGGCTAGCTGCATGAAAAAGGAAAGATATGTCTCTTGAAGACACACAGTACCATGTTATTACAATGGTATTAGCATTGTTACCTTAAAAGAACCAGAAAGCTGTTCATGAATAAGAATGAAACTTTGCATGCAATGATCACACTTTAGCTCTGCTCTCTCAGATACAACAAAAAGTGAAACGATAAGCTTTTTTTCACTAGTAGCTTTAATCTGTGTGATCAAATCAGTATAAATGGGATTGAGTGCTGCATAGCGCTCAGCTCAACACTCCGTAAAATGTGTTTTGCTGTCACTGTTAAAGGGGAAATGTAAAGAGAGCATTCGGACTGTTCAGAGAGCTTTGAGGGTATGCAACAGATGAAGTAACAGAAGCTGTTCTGTCTGTGAGCAGATGTGCCCCCCAGTGCCACTCTTTCCCAGAGAGCATCCTCTCTGTGCGTTGTCCGTCCTGACAGAGGCCATGCAGGTGCCTGGAGGACACAAGCGCTTTCTGCTGCCGAAGTCTGTGTCGTGAGACCCCGGCATGAGGGCCCAGAGCCAGCCCGCGCCCTCCCCAGCCCAGTTTCCTTGGAGATGAGGGTCACTGGGACCTGGAATTTTTCCTGAGGAGCGCTGACCCTGATTTATGAATTCATTTAACTTGGGCTTTTAGTGTCGGATTTGTGCAGACAGTCGTGGTCCTGTGTTGATGGCCGGGCTCCTTCTCCGCGCTTAGGCTGGCCGGGCCCTGCCGGTTTAGTGAGCGGCAGGGGTGGCGTGGTGCTGCACCATAATCCTGTGTCTGCACCTCAGAGGAGGTCTCTTCAACAAAAGATCAGGTTTTGTTGTGCTGTACGTGCTCAGACAGGTGTGAGACTGTGTGTTGACGCACTCTGTGGTGTCTCCTCTGCAGGTGTTCGCTTTTGACCACTGTTTCTGGTCCATGGATGAGTCCAACGTTCCCAAATATGCTGGTGAGTCATCAAGGCCGAAACTGATACTTCACTCATCCAAAAAAACTCCTCTGAAGACCTGACAAGCTTTATGTTACCACTGCTGAAAGAGGGGAAACTCCCTAATTGGTTGGAAAGCTTTTTTCTTTTCCCTTTTTTTTGTTCTTTGCCTCAGGAAAAGCAGAGGCTGCACTTCCCATATGTGATCATTTGCATTTGGTATGAGCACATTAAGATTTAGTGAACTGATTAACTACAAAGATTTAGCTCTACTCTCTTTAAGTGAAAGATCACAGTGCAGGTTTGTGCAGCGTCCACGCAGACTAAACATCTGCATTTCAGATTTTTGCTTTTGTAATCTACAAGTGTTTTAACTATCATGCTCCCACTCGTGTTAAATTAAGTTTCCTCTACTACCATTCATCCCTTTAATTACATTCACAGCTCCGGGTTTTCTCAAGTCTCCTTTTTCTTTTTCAAACTTGTGTTGAGGAGATGTTTTCTCTACCTCTCTGAACATCAGCAAAACCATTGTTGATATTTTCTTCATCATATCTCTCCCATTTTGTTATGCAAATGCCATTCTTACATTTGCTTTGTGCTGCTTTGACGAGGCAGTCTGCTCAGCACAGGGCTGCTGCCTCAAGGGCCCGAGCCAAGGCTTTATTTAGCTCATTAAACAGCTGTCCCATTCAGAAGGAGGCAGCGAGCAGAGCAAGAGATTTCTCTACACAGCTTTATATTTTCCACATGACCACACAAGAATGTGCCACCTTTCATGAATCTTGCTCATTGTTTTGGGGACCTGGTCAATACGCTTCTCTGTACTGATTTTGCATACTAGGACAACATCCAGATAATGGTGGATACTTTTATGCAACTCAGTTGTTCCTCTGTTTCCCATAATCTCCATGGTGACCGTTTCTTTCTCCGAAAGGTCAAGAGGTGGTGTTCAAGTGCCTTGGAGAAGGAATACTTGAGAATGCATTCCAGGGATATAATGCCTGCATATTTGCCTATGGACAAACAGGTAACAGAAAAAACCTACATGAAGTCTGTGTTATGACTCTTTTTCTCTAAATTCCATGCAGCCTTCAAGCTGAATGACCTGTTTTACATTAAGCTGAGTCCAAGGACTGAGTGTTTAGGAAGAGCTTGAGCTGGAATTTTCATCTCATCAAAGCCCATAAATTCACTACAAGCAAAAACCTATATAGAATTTATCTTATGATTTAAAGATAATTATTTATACATGTTAGCTTAATCCATCAAGAAGTGTTGCTCACTACACCGTCTACTTGTTTTAATGGACTACAATTTACCCTCTGGATCCATTCCTTGCTGACAGTTGGTTGTGAAATGTCACAGAAAACGGTTTTCAGCTGAAATTTGAAAGTCTCTCTTCTAAACAACTTCAAGCAGAGCACTACCCCCTTCCTTGGCTTCTGAGTGATAGAATGAAGACTGCAGCACTTGTCATTTCGGCTATCAGCGTCTTAGGAGTTGTAAGTGACCATATTTGGCGGGAAAGTGAATAGACGGATAGGGTGAGGATTGCCCACACAGCAGCTTCTTGTCAGTCATAAGGTAACAGAGGAACCCACTGGCTGTTACCAAATGATCATGGCTGCAACTGCAAGTCTCCCAGTGTTGCCAACGGGTATCAGATATCCTGTCAAGATCTCCCGTTCCATGTGCCAGTCATTGTTTATTTGTCGATCATTTTAGAATAATAAATACTTTAGGTGATAGCCACTGGTTTGAAGGTTCGAACAAAAATCTGAGAGTTATGGCCTCCAGATAGTTTTTGCTATGTCTAAAGATAGATGTTTGAGCACATATCTGCTCAACGCTGATGCACCATATTGACTTGTCTTTCATCTCCAGAAGGGGAATGGGTTTATTTTAGGAGTCTAAATGGGACATATTAGTTCATATGAATAATCGTTTATATGGAGTATGAGATATTTGGGTTTTTGACCTGCAGTATAAAATTGAATCAAATCACACCACAGAGTGTTTATCCATGTTACATCATGCACAGAATTTGTTACAATGTGGGCCCAGATGGGCTCAGCCATAAATTAGGATGCTAATTAGAGGATTTAAGCTTCACCGGTACTAAGGCAGTCAGCTGTGTGACTCTGCTCTGCTTCCAGGCTCTGGCAAGTCTTTTTCCATGATGGGTAATGGAGAGCAGCCAGGTTTAATCCCCCGACTGTGCTGGTCGCTGTTTGAGAGGGTTCACAAGGAGACGAACGAAGGACATACTTTTAAGGTGGAAGTGTCCTACATGGAGATCTACAACGAGAAGGTCCGTGACCTGCTGGATCCCAAAGGGTAAGTCAGATGTGCGGCCCTCGCAGGCCACAGCCAGGTGGATTTTATGGGCCGCTCCAGACACACACCACTAGATATACACACACCAGGGTGTTATTTTTCTTGATTGACTGGAGCTCTCAGACAGTGGCCAGTTCATCAGCTCTAACTTTGCGCTGGAACGCAGCACTGTTGCGTCTAGTCACCTCAAAGACGGGACGCCGGCAGAATGATGTAAGTAGGAAGCTCGAGCCAGTCGTTTCCTGCAGAACAGCAGCCAGCACGGCTCTCTGACACTACGCCATTCTCTGCCCTGCGGAGGGATGTGGCTCAGCAGGCAGACTGCTGTGAATGGGGATGTTTGAGGGACATCTGCCAGTGAAGCCGGGAGCAGGAGAGCGCTCACAGGCGCCTGTGAGCTCAGCGCAGAGAAGGGGCCACAGTGCAAAGCTCTGTGCGCTGCAGATGTCTGGAGATGCAGCCAGACTCATTTTGACTGAAGCTTCCTCTTGTGTAAATAAAAGAATCTCACACTCTCTTGATCCTGCCTTTGTGAGCAAATATTGGCTGTCTTATAGGCGTGAGGTGTAGAGCATAAGTATGGTCTCAGTCCCACTGTCAGCTGGGATATGGCCAAAGTCTTTTCAGTGGTTGTAATTTTTTGTCCTGGCTTCGGTTGTAGAGTTGGTCTAGTAAATGACACCTGTCCCATTTTATAATATTTGAATGTGGAATGCATTTGAATTGAGTGTCAATAAGTTTTACACTTCTGTTAGTGAATTGCAACATGATTTGTTTTGATCCTTTAAATATATTTATACATTTTTTTTGTGATAATTTGTGGGGGGAAAAAGCAACACGAATTACAAGATTCAACAAGGTCTTTCTCAATTTACCTGAAACGAATAATTTAAAAAAAAAATAAAGTTGGAATTTGTAAAACATAAAGACATTTTTTTTTTAAATGTAGCAAGCTACTGATATACATATATTTGTGTCTTGCTTCAGCTACACAATCATTGCCATAACTGGTGAGCAGTCTTGCATCCCTGCAGCTTGTTAGTATGCTAAAGCTAATTGGCGAGCATGCAGTAGATGCATTTGCAACACAAAAGTGTCTCTTTAGATAGAAAATCTCGTATGGTGATATTAGATTTATTTGGTCCAAAACAAACCATAGAATGCAATTTCACAAATCCTCTTAAAACAGTGAGAAATGATCTACTTTTCAGGGAATATGCTTTCAGCTTACATTCTGCTTCTGAACGTAAAATTAGTACCAGATATTCAGCATGAAACTCTGGTCTATTTCATGTATGTCCTCTGTTTTTCTCTCTCCAATTCAGGAGCCGCCAGTCTCTGAAAGTACGGGAGCACAAAGTCCTGGGTCCATATGTGGATGGTCTTTCGCAGCTGGCTGTGACTGGCTTTGAGGTTTGTCTTTCACTCGTGTCTCTTCACGCTTTGACCAGAGATGAGGCGTTATCGATTCAATCACACACTGAAATGCTCCATTTCTTACACGGAAAGGCACGATTTATAACATCCTGCAGAAATGCCTTAATATACTGTAATTCCTGCAGGTTTTCACATAAGTCATTTACGCTGGCACAACAGTTTGACTTAAAATTCTCCCAGGAGCAGAAAATGTGATGACAGATACCTCTGGTTTGGCTGCAGCTCCGGGATTGCACGTACTTTATGTGCCAAGCCTTGGCAGGTTCCTTAATGATGTTAAAACGTCTCCACCCTATTCCTCTGTGCTCTGCTCCGCCTGATGTCAGTGCTTTGGGTTTCCCACCGCCTGGCGTGACCCAGCTAAATGAAATGGAAAACAGCCACATGTACCACACACCACTTACATTTACTGTAATCGCAACAATCCTTTTGCAACTTTTCCCTGGATCTGTTTTGAAGCCGGCGAAACATGAAAACCTTCAGCAGCGTTCATCAGACATTGCCGTGTCCATTTCAGGACATTGAGGTGTTGATGTCGGAGGGGAACAAATCTCGCACGGTCGCAGCCACCAACATGAATGAGGAGAGCAGTCGCTCACACGCCGTCTTCAGTATCATCGTCACACAGACGCTGTACGACCTACAGTCAGGGGTGAGTTTATTCTTTGCTTTCCGCCTTTCTCTCTCCTCTTTTCTTTTTTTTGAGCACATGTTTATGTGTGTCCTTTTAAATTTGATGACCAGAATTCGGGGGAGAAAGTGAGTAAGATGAGCCTGGTTGACTTGGCGGGAAGTGAGAGAGTTTCCAAGACTGGAGCTGCTGGGGAGCGACTCAAAGAAGGCAGCAATATAAACAAGTGGGCATTTGAGTATTTAGCTATTCATTTGTTATGTATGTAGACATGCTACTTGTGGGAGACCTCAGATGTATGTTTGTTTTTGTTTTTTAAGGTCTCTCACCACATTGGGCTGTGTGATTTCTGCTCTGGCCGACCAGTCTGCAGGAAAGGGGAAAGCCAAATTTGTGCCTTACAGAGACTCTGTCCTCACCTGGCTTTTGAAGGTTTGACCCACAAGCCACATAGTTTCAGAACTGGTTTTTGTAACAACCTTTTCTCCTGCTGTTAGACCGGAGAGTTAATTTTAGCAGCCTTGCTACATTACAAAGTCTTCCTATTGAATTCAGGACAACCTTGGCGGAAACAGCAAGACGGCCATGATAGCCACGGTGAGTCCGGCTGCCGATAACTACGAGGAGACGCTGTCCACGCTGCGTTACGCCGACAGAGCCAAGAGAATCGTCAACCACGCCGTGGTCAACGAGGACCCCAACGCTCGGATCATTAGAGAGCTCAGAGAAGAGGTGGAGAAGCTGAAGGTTCAGCTCTCTCAGGCTGAGGTGAGGCCACGGTGGACCAACGCCGAGTGTTGATGGACCCCAGACCAGATCGGACTCTGATCAGGGCCTTTCTATTGGTTTCCCCGCTTGTTCCCCACAGTCCATGAAGGCTCCTGAGCTGAAGGAGAAACTTCAGGAATCGGAGAAACTCATTCAGGATATGACGGTCACCTGGGAGGAGAAGCTGAGGAAGACCGAGGAGATTGCCACTGTGCGCACATGAGTCACAAAAGTCCAAAACCTGAGCTCTAATTCAGTGTATTTATATGCATAGCTACACTGTTATTATGTCTGGTTACAGGAGCGTCAGAAGCAGTTGGAGAGCATGGGCATCTCCTTGGAAACTTCTGGGATTAAAGTGGGTGAAGACAAGTGTTTCCTGGTCAATCTGAATGCTGATCCTGCATTAAACGAGCTACTGGTTTACTACCTGAAGGTAAGTATTTAGTGATGATGAACTCCTCAATTTCGAGTTCTAGCTTTCACATCAGCAAATCGTGATCCAGACTGCTGAGTGCTTTAAACACAGCAGCAGTTTAATATGCTTTACTTTTTAATTATAGTGTGACATTTTAGTTTCAGTTTATTCTGAATACTTTTTCTGTTTACTCGGTCACAAATTTTTTTAATGTATTAAATTAACTCTATCTGGAGAGCACTCAATTAAAAATAATCTGGTATTTTAGGTATTTGACGCATGCAAAGATGATTGATTTCCTTGTTGATTTGTTTTTCTCTAATAATTTTTCCCCTCCTTCTGAAACATTTACACTTTAATAACTTTACACTTTAAAATAATAATTTATCATATTTATAATGCTAATAATTTATCTATAATTCAGATAATAATTAAAGTTTAAAATATATTTATATATTCATTAATATATAATGATTTTATACTTTGGTAACTGTACTCACCTCTGCTGCTGATATCGTCCCGGATATCTTAACGATTCTGTTTGTTATAGACTGCAGTCCTGTTACATCTAAGCTCACATGTTGCTGGGATACAAATGACAGTGGTAGAGCACAAGGTCCACCAAGAGTAGGTCATGAACAAACACCCAGCTAGTTGGACCTGCTGGATCAGAGGCATGTGAGACAGAACAACAGGCCTTTGTGGGGACTCTGTAAGCCATCCTGGCATATCAGTGAAGGATGACTATGGTCATGGAAAATGGGATAACACAAGGCTCCCGTGGCGCATAAGTTTTTGTTTGTTTGTTTTTTGCTGTAATTTTGAATATTTCTGTAATCGAGGAGTTCTGGCCTGCCATCTTCTCATGCAAGCAGGTTGAGAAACCACGTCTGAATCGGAAGGCTCGGTGTTGTTTGTGTTGGGATCTGTTATGTGAATCCGTCCTCCACCTGTGTGTAGGAGCACACACGCGTGGGTGCGGACACGTCCCAGGACATCCAGCTCTTTGGCATCGGGATCCAGTCGGAACACTGCGTCCTGGAGCTCTGCCCCGATGGCGACGTCACCTTGATGCCCATGGGCAACGCCAGGTGAGCTGCTGTGCTGCTATTTCCAGCGCTGTCTGTCTGTCTGCCTTCCCCTTACGGCTGACTGGAGCTCAGACTTTCACATGACCTCACCACACAGGAATCCCATGATCTGAGCTCACTGTGATATCAGAACCATGTCTCCCTATTGCTACAGAGGGATTGTCTTTTTTTCTCAGTTTATTTGTTTCCCACATTCAGAGTTGAAGGTTAGAATTCCTGTGTTATCTTCGTGTTTTCCACAGGTCTTGTGTGAATGGCACAGTGATCGACTCCTTGGTGCACCTGTGGCATGGAGACCGAATCTTGTGGGGAAACAATCATTTCTTCAGGTCTGAGCTCTCAGATTTGGTACCACATTTAGAACGGTTATGGAAGTGGGCTGATTCGTAGTGGTGTCGCTCTGTAGGATAAACCTACCGAAGCGAAAGCGGCGGGACCGTTTGAAGGAACTGGAGAGAGCGTCTCCCAGAGAGAGCTTTGTGGAGGCAGATGTGGAGACGGCCAGCGAGGCCTCCTCTGAGCAGGACTACAACTATGAGTTTGCCCAGATGGAGGTCATGATGAAGACTCTGGGGAACAATGGTACGTTTAGGCACCGTGCAACCTTCTGATCGTACTATTAATATTTGCATTGTAATTGAATGCAGGCGTCAGTGTTTTGTTTGTCTCAAAACCATTCCTCTGTAAGTTTAGTGTAAATGTCTCCACATGTGTAGACCCCATGCAGAACGTGGTCCAGGTGTTGGAGAAGCAGTACCTGGAGGAGAAGCGCTTGGCTCTGGAGGAGCAGAGGCTGATGTATGAACGAGAGCTGGAGTCGCTACGGCAGCAGCTCTCCCCAGAGAAAACCTCGCAGCACCACCGCAGCAGCAGCGAGCGCCTCACGTTCCCAACGCACATGCCACACAGCAAGCTGCGACTGTGGACCGAGGAGCGGTCAGTTTGTGTTAGTCTTGGTATTTTCCATGAACTTTAACCAGGCTAACCAGTAGTAATGGGCCAAATTCACCCCTATCCCTCTCACACATTCAGCACTCAAATTAACTTCTATATTTCTAAAGAATAATAGAACCGGTCTTTGAATCCACAACTAAAAGATGATCATGTGTCTGTATGTGTGTCTGTTTGACACAGGGATGAGCTTTTTCGTCAGAGTCTCTCTCGACTCAGAGAGCAGGTCGTCAAAGCCAACACTTTGGTGCGAGAAGCCAATTTCTTGGCGGAGGAGATGAACAAACTCACTGACTATCAGGTCACGCTTCAGATTCCTGCAGCCAACCTCAGCGCCAACCGCAAGGTCAGGCCTCTGAACCCGCCATGGTAGAATTGTTTGTGTTGAACCCATTTAAACTGATCTAAAATCACGCAATTAATTAATTTTTTTATGTAGCGGGGAGCCATCGTGAGCGAGCCAGCCATTCAGGTGCGGCGGAAGGGGAAGGGTACCCAGGTGTGGACCATCGAGAAGCTGGAGAACAAACTGGTTGATATGAGAGACCACTACAGAGACTGGAAGGAAGGCACAGACGAAACGGTAAGAAAACCGAGGACAAAACAGAGGAAGAGAAGGGCAGAAGGACTTTTTATTAAAAAGTCCTCTTCTCAGTTTTTCCAGTATCACAAAGCTAACGGTAAACACTGCGATCCGTTCTACGAGGCGCACGAGAACCACAACCTCATAGGAGTGGCCAACATTTTCCTGGAGTGCCTTTTCCACGATGTCAAACTGCAGTATGCTGTCCCAATCATCAGCCAGCAGGGAGAGGTGAGGCCACGCCCATGCCCTCTTACACTTTCTGGCATATGCCGGCAAGGACCGTCTGGGTTTTGACGGTGATGACCACGCTCTGTGCGTTGTGTGTGCACAGGTGGCCGGCAGATTGCACGTGGAGCTGACGCGAGTGAGCGGAGCCGTGCCCGAGCGCCTGTCCGGAGGAGACGACTCGTCAGAAAACTCCAGCGAGAGCAGTTGCTACGAGGTCATGGACACAAATGGAGAGATCGTTCACATGGCCAAGAGGCTCACCTGCAGGGTAAGAGTCGCGCCTCAGCCCTTTTGAAAGAGCTCTGCGCCTTCACCGGGAGATGTAGGAGCTGTGACTCCGTGTTGCTAATTGTCATCCCTGTCGTGTGCCTGTCCTGCTGCTGTAGGTGAGGATCAGGGAGGCCACCGGGCTGCCTCTCAATCTCTCCAACTTTGTGTTCTGTCAGTACACTTTCTGGGAGCACGGGGAGCCTGCTGTGGCTCCTCCCATGGTCAGCCCAGACAGGCCTTCCCCTCGAAGCCCAGACGCTCAGTTCACGGTCCAGTTTGACCACTGCAGAGTAAGGAGAAGGAGCTGCTAGTCTCTTTGGACTCATTGTGATCCAAATCGGCTTCTTGACGCCAGGTCTCGTCTTTGTCCAGGACTATGTTGTGCAGGTAACAGATGAGTTTTTGGAGTTCATCTCAGATGGAGCGCTGGCCATTGAGGTTTGGGGTCACCGCTGTGCAGGGAACAGGCGCTCTCTTTGGGAGCTGGATGCACTAGAAGCAAAGACCCAGACGCTCCGAGACAGGTGTGGGGCATCTCCTGTTTCTCTTGGACTTTTGCCTTTTCGACATTCACATCTCACACCTTTCTAACCCTGCATGTTCAAGGTGGAGTGAGGTGTCTCGCAGGATTGAGCTGTGGGTCTCCATCCAGGAGCTCAATGAGCAGGGAGAGTACACGCCTGTGGAGCTCCAGCCCGGAAAAGACATTAGCACAGGAGGAGTATTCCAACTCCGGCAGGTCTGAGCAAAATTAGAGACAAGGTTCCCTCTATTTAGGGGTGACAAACCTATACCAACACTAATTACGTAATTGTTTTTCTGCATGCAGGGTCACTCAAGAAGGCTCCACGTGTGCGTGAGGCCGGTCCAGAACTCGGGCACCCTGCCTCTGCTGGTGGAGGCTGTGCTGAGTGTTTCTATTGGCTGTGTGTCGGCTCGCTTCACCAAACTACAGAGGCCACTCGACAGCTACCAGGTCTGTAAAATCCACATCTTTCATAACACACATGCCACTTGCAATATGAGCAGACTGTGTTGACATTATTGGAAAAAATGGCTTGCAATTGAATCAAAGCAGATTTGTATCTTTGGAGCAGTATGCCTATGTTAGGCCAGAGATATACAGCATAATGCTGATTCAGCCAAGTATGTTGAGCTATTCTCAGGTTTCTAGTCTTGACTGTACCCTCTGGGTGGCTGGCAGTCAAACAAGAGAAGTCCCAGGAAATTAAAAAAGGGGTCTGTTGTGTCCTGTTTTAGATGCACAAAAAATACTTAATTTTTTTCCTACTTTTGTAGATTTAGAAGAAGAAACTCAGGCCTTCAGTTATTTTCGGGGTGTTGGTATCCATTCAGACCAAACTGTTCTTCCACTCAGACATCGCTCAGGCAGTGCACGTTTTTTCCCTGAGCTGTCATGTCTGGGCCTTTACTGGTTTCCTCACATTTGACTGAGTGTCTTCTCCCCTGCCAGAGAGAGGTGGAGGACGATATGGATAGTTATCAGGTACCCTCCAAGCGTCCTTCTGCTGCACCCTCCCCCTCTCTAGTTCACTCTGCAGAATGAAGGAAACCCACTGAGACCGTTTTTGTGAGGAGACATGTTGCAGGGGGCATGTGCGAGACACAACGCTGTGTCTCGGTCAGCCAGAGAAGCGCTTTATTAAATGGCAGCTGCATGTGTGGATGGTCTCTGACGCTGCTGTTATTAATCACACCAGCTGTTTTTTTGGCAGCTGTCAGAGCAAACGCGGTTCCACCTGTAGCTGAGCTTCCAGCCAGCACAGCATGTCTGCCACGGTCCCGTCCTGCGCCCCCCCTCACCTCTGGTTGCATATTAATGCCCGTGTTTGCTTTTCACCGCTAAAGAGCTGCAGAAATATTAACCTTCACCTAATCGCTAGGGCACTGCATGGCAGCGTGATCTAAAGCACTCTGCATGGTAAAAGTCTGCTGATGTTTAAAGAGTGGTATGGTTTCTTTGAGTTCTGTTGAGTACGGCTGTTGTCTGCTCTCTGAGCTTCTCTCATGTGGCAGAAGGATCTGCCACACATTCAGGTAAGTCTTTAGATGGCTGTGGCTGCAAGTGTGTGAGCATGCAAGGAAGTTAGTAAGAGATTAAATGAAGGTTTGTTTTTCTTTTCTTTAAATCTCAAACTCAAGCTTGAGTTTGCAATTAGGAGCAGTCAAAAGTTTAGCTTCTCCAATACAGCATCTGTCTATTTTAAGGTGCAGTCAGCATAATCAGCCTTGTGAACGCTCATCATTCCCTGGAGCATCATCCTGCTCACTGAGCTAACTGGCATTGATTCTGATCTCTTTGTGCTTCCAGGAAGAAGATCTGAACTGTGTCAGAGAGCGGTGGTCAGATGCCCTGATCAAACGCAGGGAGTATCTTGACGAACAAATCAAGAAAATCATCTACAAACATGGTGAGTCGTGTAACCCTGTTCAGCTGAAGGAGCATTGCAGACACGGAGCTGATTAAACGTCTCCCTTCCTCACCATACGTTTCCAGAAAAGTCAGAGGAGGACATTGAGCGTGAAGCTCGGCTGGTGGAGCAGTGGGTGGGCCTTACCGAGGAGAGAAACGCGGTACTGGTGCCCGCACCCAGCAGTGGCATTCCTGGAGCCCCCGCCGACTGGTAAGAATAAGGGACAATCACACACACACATCCCCTTCGCTTCATTTGGCCCTTTATTTTCATTCACGGGGTTATCCATCTGAATTTAGGGCTCCACCTGCAGGGATGGAAGCACACATTCCTGTTCTCTTCCTGGACTTAAATGGTGAGGCAGACCCACCATGTTATTCACAGGGCCCTCTTTGGCTTTGCACAGGCTAACGCGTCTTTTATTCCGCCAGCCGATAATCTGACAGTGAACGAGCAGCTGACGGGGCCTCACGCTGCAGGGGTTAACTCCATCCTACCCAAGGAGCACGGCAGCCAGTTCTTCTATCTACCCATCATCAGGCACAGCGACGAGGAGGTGAGCAGCAGCATCACTGCCCCCTGGTGCCCAAAAAAGCAAACTTGGGAAACATTGGGAAAGTATTTTTCTCAAGCAACGCAAACAAAAGGGCAGTGAATCTTTTTGATTTATCAGAATTTATGGATCGATTTCTAGGAATCGTAGACTAACTTATTCTGCCTAATCCAACAAATCACTTTTGGTTTGCCACATCTTCATTTGCACATGCACTTTAACACAGAACATTTTAATTTGCTTGGTTGACCTTTTGTAAATATTTATTGCATATATATTCATATATATATATTCAAATATGAATTTGGAGTCAACGCTTCAAGATAACAAAATTCCTCCTCCCATACATAGAAAGCTGGTTTGGGGTTCTTCTGCTGCCTCAAGCCATGGAAACAATGTAGTCACTGAAATTATGTTGAAATCTGAAAACTGACGGTATCATGGCAACAGTCCACGAACTGATGAGGTTTGGTAGTACGACGGCATGATGACCCAAAGGCAGATTTTTCAGTTTTGATGAGTCCTTACCCTAATCAGATCAAAATATTGTGGAATAATCTGAAAAGGCCTGTTCAGGTTCACTGACCAGCGAAATGAATGCAATGAATACTTATTTTTGTGAGAGGAATGTTTCATTAGCAGCCATAAGTCTCAGAAGGATTTTTTGGCTGCACAATTATTTTAACTTTTGAATATTTTAATAGTTGCTCTACCGCTCATAAAAACAACAAAATACCAAGCTGTTTTCATGAGTAATTGATGCAAAAACCATTATAAGTAATACATAATAATGATTTATCTCCAGACTTCTCTAACCTCCCTAGCTTCAGAGTACATTTATTTATGATTGTAGTCCACATTCTTGTCTCAGCTTGTATCAGTGATCTCTCTGTAGACCACTGCTGAACTGCCCAGATAAACCCCAGCCCCTCTCATTTACCAGGTGTTGGCGGTGTGCTCCTGGGACTCATCCATTCATGACTCTGTGCACCTCAACCGGGTCACTTCACCTCACGAACGCATCTACCTGATAATCAAAGCCACCGTGCAGCTCAGCCACCCCGCCTCCATGGAGCTTGTGCTCCGCAAGCGGATTGCTGTCAACATCTATAATAAACAGGTGAATGCTCAGAGGGGTCAAACACACAGCGAGGACGAAGAGGTTGTGTTTTATTGACTAGCATTCATTTTTTATTTGTTTGATGCAGAGTTTCACCCAGAGTCTCAAGAGAAGAATGTCTCTAAAGAACACACTTTACTCCAGTGGTGTCACTTATGAGATTGTATCCAACATACCAAAGGTACAAAGTCTGGGTCTGTGATCAAATGAATCTGTAGGATAACAGAAATGAGAACAGCAGCTCTTACTCCTGTTCTGTGATTCCAGGCCTCAGAGGAGCCAGAGGAGAGGGAGACCTTGGCCCTGATGGCCGCTCGTGGGGACAGTGAGGAGACTCGGGATGGAGAAACCTACATAGAGAAGTACACACGAGGAGTTCTGGAGGTGGAGAACATCTTAAGTCTGGAGAGGCTACGACAGGTATGGTCCACGGCAACGCTCGCATCAGGAAAACATCACTGAACTTCTTTACTGACTGTTAATCTCTGCAGGCTGTGACGGTGAAGGAAGCACTTGCTACCAAGGGGAGACATTTAAGGAGGAGTATCAGCACACCAAATGTACAGCATGTAATTAGCACATCTCTCACTACATGTCCTCTGGGCCACAAGGAAATAGGGAAATTTTATCACTAAATGCTTCTGAAAATGCTAAAATGTTTGTCTTTTCCTCAGTCTTCGTGCAGTAAGATTGACCTGACAGCTTGTGAGGATGAAGAGTACAAAGCTCATCAGGTACAGTTTAACTAGGACTGATACACATTAGTCGTTTTGGTGGTGCTTTTAAACACGCTGGATCACAAATTACACACAGAATGCAAAGTAAACCCATTTGTTGCCACGCTGGGGTTCATGGTCTTTTACTTTGGGTCCTAAGTTAGGTCGTGTTGACAGACTATTAAAGCATTAGTGGCACGTTTGAAAGCCTGTGAAGCTGACTGGGTCCCACTGTTTAGGACCATTGTGATCATCCTGGAAACGCCGACTGCAGCCCTCAAGATGGATCCCTTTCTTCCACACCTATTAAAAACAAAGAAAACCCAGGTAAAGCAGGCGCACCCCTCATGAAGCTGTTGCACGGCACCATCACTGTCTGTTTTCTGAACAGTATTTTCCCCTTTCAGGCTTAGTTCCGGAGAGTCCTGCCTTTTTCAGCGCCAGCTCTTTCAAAGTGCTGTCGCCCCAGCCGCCTAAGTTCCTCAAGTCTTTACTTCCTGTGAAAGAGGAGAACAAAGCAAAGAAAGTGCTGGAGGCCCGGCCACTGCTGGGACTAGAGGTAAAGAGGACAAAGTGGAATTTGCTTTCTTTCAAGTCAGAGGCGCTGGTGTGTTTGTTGTTGCCATTCTGTTTCCATATAGCCACGGTGTCCCATGTCTCCAGTGTCATTTTGTTTGTAATAATTGATTTTCCAGCTAGTTTTTGGCTGTTCCATTGAAACTAACAACGCATTTTGGCTTTCTTGAAGTGCTCTAAAAGAGGTGCAGATCCTGACTGTACCTTCCTCGTATTTAGGACACTTCAAGAACCGTTTTTTGGTGAAATGTTAAACTGCATGGCACTAACTGCGGGACTGGCCGGCCCAGCTCCGCGCATGCTGTGTGTGTGAGTGTGTGCTGTTGTTCTGACCCATCCGCAGAGCATGCGCTCATGTGTGGACAGCCCTGCACTGCTCCCCTCTCCCTGCTCCTGGCTCCGGCCCAGGGCAGGCAGCGAGGGCCACTGCAAGCCTTCCACCCCAACCTCCACCCCCACCTGCACCCCCATCAGCAGACAGCTCAGCCACACACTGCCACGCACTGCTGTAAGTGCTACACGTCCAGAGTTAAACACATGCTGGCACCGCAGTCACCCTTACACCTCTGTAACTACAGCAGGCGCCTTTGCTTTAAGGGGTCGCATAGAGTGCGACTTTTCAGTTCTCGGTAAAATCCCTGTGCATGCAGAGTCCCACTACATGTAGTTGCAGCACCCTTCAACGTGGAGATGGGATTCACGTCACCATGCTTTGTTTCCACGGTGCCTGGCATGAGTTTTCTCTGCTGTCATTTGCATTGTTGCTGGAAAAATAGGTAATTCAGAAAATGAGTAGACAAAATGCTCAAAACTGGAGCGTAGCACCATTTAGTTTATCAGCACGTATAGAAATGAGTCACAGATATTACATTGGTGTGTGGGAAAGCTCAGAGTAGCAGTTTGTCTGTAGACAGCGGAGCTTTGAGACAAAGTTTTAGCCAAGGTGTTTTTTGTGCCTTTTTACGACTTTTTTACAAAAAAAATAAACCAGTCAAAGACAAGAAAATTATAGCATACAGTTGAAAAAACACCCCTTTACAGAACTGCTTGTGTACTGTATTGAAAAGTTGAACTAACACTGGAAAGAATAATTCGTTTTTTAGCAACAAAAAACACTGTTTTACTTGGCAGGATGAAAGAATGCTACATTTACTTCAGCACTTGCCCATAATGCAATGATTTGACTCCATGAATGCAAGAGAGAAATGAAAGGCCACACACCTGCATGAGCAAAAAGCTGTAAATCATCAGACACCTTAAAGCAAAGTTCTGACACAGAACAATGTGCCACAAAATCACAGAATGTGTTTGTGCTCCATCATCACATTTTCACTGTCTTCATTCTCTTAAGAAGTAAAGAAGATGTAGTATTTACACAGGCTGAAGTTTCATATAGGCTGTAGCTAACATTCCATCTTTTGGTTTGCGCCTCCTTTTCCTGTTGTTGCTTTGATCAGCAGGACTCTGATGATGAGGAGACGGTTGTGGACGTGGCTGTGACTCTAACTCGAGGCCCGCCGGACCAAAGCGGCTTCCAGGCTTACGTCCCAGAGGACTTTGCAAACTTTGAGGTCTATAACGCCACTCTGGAGGGCCAGGAGGGGTTTCGGTCTGACTTGAAGGGAGGCCGGTGTGGAAGCGGGGGGGGGGACAGAGAGGCGTCCCGCAGCCCCACGGCTAGCAGCTGCACCAGCGGCTACTTTTCACAAAGCGCCTCCAACGCCACCCTGTCCGACATGCCTTTCAGCACAAGCGAGAGCTCTGACCACCTGAGCTGCACTGCCAGAGACTCTCAGGACCCTCTGGGCAGCCTGGCTGGAAGAGGATGCCTCCAAACCAAAAGTGCTCCTGCAGGGAGCGACACCCAGCAGCAGCCGCCTCTTTCAGCTGCTGGGGTCAGTGACCCGCTTGTCCATTCAGCCTCCTCGTCCGTCAGTATCCCTGACTGCACAGAGAAGCAGGACTCCTGCCCTCTACCCAGCCTCAGCACCAGCCTGGAGTTCACTGACTTCAAAGGGGCCGATGATAGTATTAGAGAGGGTGATTTAGCACATTTTACCGAGAGATGGGAGCCGGAAAGGTCGGACATTTCTGGAGGCCAAGAGAAGAAACCAGATCCTGTAGAAACATGTGACACTGACAATCCGCTTCTCTCTGATGTGTGTAGAGAGACGCCTAGTCCTGAAAATGCAATATGCAAAGGTGCAAACTATGAAGACCGTTTTCATGAAACCGCAGACTGTGCTTCTGTCAAATCCCCAATGTTTGTCCCTGGCCAAGCCCCGTCCTCAGCCCTCAGTATTCCCTCTCTACCAATCCCTTCTCCAACATCGCCCCCCGTGGTCAAACCTTTCACCACAGCTCCATCAAAGGGCCCAGCTCCACGGGCAGGAGGGGAACCTCCAATCCAGGAGCCCGCCCAGGGGGATCTGCCTCACGGGAGCCCCTGCCCCAGCCCCAACCCCGGCAGCGCCGAGCCCTCCGGGGACTCCAGCGGCGACGAGAGCACCCCCGTCGCTCAGCTCCCCGACTGGATGGCACCTGGGGAGCAGGTGTGGGTGGGGAAGAGGAGAGGAACAGTCCACTATGTAGGAGGGGTGGAGTTTGCAAAGGGGATCTGGATTGGCGTAAAGATGGACATGGCAGTAGGTAAGTGGCTTTTGAGTGAGTTCTGTCGGTACCGCGCACCCTTCTGCATCTGAAAAGCCCAAATGTGATCCGTCATTCAGACGCCTTTAACCCCATTTTGCTCGACCCTCACTTAGGCAAGCACAATGGGACTGTCCAGGGCAGAGTGTACTTCCGCTGTCCCCCAGACCACGGTGTGTTTGTGAAGCCGTCTCGACTAACCAGAGGACCACCTTCCATGGAAACAGAACCCCAGACTCTGATCAGATAGGACCCAAAGAAGGACTGGTTTTCTGAGGATCAACAGGGACCGAAGAGTTCTCCTGTGAGGCCGACTTTTGACCACTCATTTCTCTGAGCTTATGCATTCTGTCAGCGTGGATGCTTTGCATCAGTATGTCTTGCCTGTGCATTATATAAGTTTTTTTTTTAGTTAAAGTTCACTGAAGAAGACAAAAAGGATCTCTATGCACATATGAGTTTTCTATATGGTCATATTTTTATAGAGGACTTAACTTTTAACAGGGAATGAAACATCACCCACATACTTTTTCCTACATGGGTTTAGAACAGTGTATATAATATTTTTGTATGACAATACAGTCTTTCCTCCAAGGCTCACAATGGAGTGACTTGGGACAAGAAGATAAGAATGTACTACTGTTAATAAACATTGATATACATCAATCGGATATGTCAGGGCTAACCAAAGAACTACAGTTCCATATCTGCTGTTTTGAGTTACCTGCTATTTTTCTAATGTGCATATACGGAGATATTCTTTATTAATAGACGTGTCCAAGTAAAGCTTAGTGCCATATCTCGAGGAGTAATGCCACATACCCTGAGCGTAGGACAAAAACCTAAAGGCTGCTTTCGGGGTTGGCAGTTAGAAGTGATCCTGTTGATGTACTGTAACACTGTGGAGGAAACGATCCCTATCCGGCATCAGACCGATGCCGTTTAAAAGCTTGCACTGGAAAGGGTTCTTGGAGAGTTCACCAACCGTCTTCTGTGTTGGTCTGATAAAAAAAACATTTGTAAACGCATGCTGTCGCTCAGAACCACGTCACCGGGCTTTGTGTGAAGCTCGGATATACTGATGCCTTACTGCCCTGCTTGATTTAGACGAGGCACATAAAGCCCAGACTGAGTTGTTTTGCTTCTTTCTTTTTTTTTATTATTAAGAATTGTAGGGACCTGAGATCTGTATGTTTCATCAAGCCCATCGGTATTCAGGACACCATCCTGCCTTGCTGACTGAATAATCGAATGCCTTTTCAACTGACTGAACATCTGAATTCTGTGTGAACTGACTGAAGTGCAGCCACATGTTAGAAGGTACTCGTTGTATTGTATTCACACGGAGGATTGGCTGAATGCCTGACATCATGGAGTTACAGAAAATGGTGCATCATTAGATCATCTGAGAAGATGACTTGTCCTATGTTGTTTTTTTTTGGAAGTGGTGAACTGTGGAGCCGAATAGAAGTGGTTGACAATTGAACCTGCAATTTTCAAGTTAATGAAAACGACCCAAGACCTTACTTTAAAGAAGAGAACAAAGCTGCTCTCCCTAATCAGGAGCTGTAAATAGATCTGTATTTGAACATAGTATTTACGCTATTATAATGTACAGAATTGTATTTATATTGTATCTGTTTATCTGGTACAGAATGTTCTAGAATAGAACATTTGCTATCAGTGTGTGTGTGTCTGTTGCCTCTTTATTTGACTCATTCAAATTCATTTAATGCAGTTACTGTGGATAATTAACAGTTTGGTGCAGTATTTCTCAACATTAGATTTTAAGAACATAAAAGGCTTTGCAAATGTTTCTTACCGCCTACTTCAACAGGGTCCAGATAGCTTTTTATTGACTGAAACTTGAAAAATTGTGGTGAATTAAAGCAGGCCTAAAAAATTAAGTTAGGGTTTGTTTAGATAGTTCTAAATATTTCTGTTAAATCCAAGACTTTGATGTCCATATTGAGAAACAGAATAAATGGATAACTTGACATTCCCATTCCCTGCTCAAGATTTTTCCCTGTTCTCGTACAGTGTGAATAGATGGCTGTATTGTGTGCTAAAATACATGAAACATGCAGCCGTCTTCATCAGGCAGCATGTTAACCATCTCAGCTCATTAACTCTTAGAGGACGTTGGCAGTGATGCTGGCCTCACTCTCCAACTTTGGCAGAAAGAGATGTTTGCCCTAAAAAGAAAAGCTATGTATTCCAATTGCAAACACTAGAATAGGATGACCCCAGAAACTATGGATATGCTGCTGGCCATGGACAGATTGGGAATCAGGTGAGCATTTGGGAACAGAAATCCAAGTCCACCAGATCCTCCTACAGGTGCTATTTTCAGGCAAGAGCTCCATAATGAATTCAGCTTTTTAGTTTTTTCTCTTTGTTTTTTCAAGAGTGTCTCCCTTACCCAACAGATAGGGGGTGTCCCTTTTCAGTCAGTCTGAGTTGAACTATGCTTCAGTAAAGCCTCTGCTGCTTGTCAGCAATGGACAGACTAAACTTGAACTTCAGCTTAATCATGTAAATAAACATGTTGAAATATCTTTATGTGGAGAAAAGGCTGTACAGAGTATGCAAATACACACTCAGGACTTTTACCATAACTATTACTGATGTTATGGTTATTAGAAAACCCAGTTTAATTCTACAGTCACTTGATAGCCTAGTTTCAATACTTTAAAAAGAGTTGACTTTAAATGGGAGTATTTTTATGACAGAAAACGTCTGTGTGGACACTTTTAAAATGAAAATCCCCCTGAAATAGGGGGTTATTCATAAATGGAGAGCTCAGAAAGAGGGGGAACATAATAGTGCAGAGTCTAGAAAATATAGTGGCTCTTGTTCATTAAAAGTTAATTCAACTGAGGGGATGCTCTTCTCTGACTAATGGTGGTTTTCTTTTTTTGTTTTAGAGGAAACACTAACCCACAAAGATATAGAATGAAACAGGAGTGGCGGTGGGACAAAGAGGCCGTGCTCCCGGTCCCTCGGTGCCCCCCCCCGGCTGTGTTTCAGCAGCTGTGCGCCGGTAGGCAGGCAGCAGCCTGCGCACTTTGTGCTGCTCCGGGTATGGGTGGAGTTAAGTTTCTGGGTCACACACGCTGACAACTGGTAAACCTTCACAACAAACTAACAGGTGTCCTCTTCCTCCTCCTCCTCCTCCTCCTCTTCCTCCGCCTCCCTCAGAGTCACACAAGTCAGCCACACTGCCGGGGGGTTGTGTGTCCGCGCCGCAAGCTCAACGCTCTTCCACACTTTAAATCTGACCCGAAAAACTTTTGAACACATTTTCCACCAATGATGCACTCGGCACAGAAAGACACCACCTTCACCAAGATATTCGTGGGGGGGCTTCCTTATCACACAACGGACGCAAGTCTGAGAAAGTACTTCGAAGTGTTTGGAGACATCGAGGAGGCTGTGGTCATCACTGACCGACAGACGGGGAAATCGAGAGGTTATGGATTTGTGAGTAGATTGTGTTGATTGTCTAAAAAAAAAAAAACACCTTGTGAACACTAATGGCACGCACGGTCGTGGGTCAGCTGGACGGGATTGCCCTGGTGCGTCCTGCTCCAGGATAAAACCAGCCCCTTAGCACTGGGGAAACCTAAAAAAAAAACTAGAGGAACGAGATTAGATTTGTCCACAGACTTAATCCAGCGAGGAAAGAGCAGATATTTGATGATAGTGGAGAAAGGTGTGAGTCACCTTCCCCCTGTGACTGTGGCAGCCTGTGGTAACTGGGAAATGTGTTGGTGGTAACTGGGAAATGTGTTGGTGGTAACTGGGAAATGTGTTGGTGTCCGCAGGTGACAATGGCAGACAGGGCCTCGGCCGACCGAGCCTGTAAGGACCCCAACCCCATAATAGATGGAAGGAAAGCCAATGTGAACCTGGCTTATCTGGGGGCCAAACCCAGAGTCATTCAGCCAGGTGAGGAACTGGACCAAGGCCCACTCACGCCCTTTCTAGGAAGTCAGTAATGTTTCTATTTTGTCCGAGACAATGTTGATGTGTATTTCAAAGTCAAACTCTAAATATGTCTTTTTTTGACAGTACATTTGTCGTCTTTTTCCCTTTTTTTGTGCTAATTTATAATGTGCAACCTGAAGAATTTGCACACAACTTGAGTACTTCTTTGTTCTGGTTTCCAGGATTTGCATTTGGTGTGCCTCAGATTCATCCAGCATTCATCCAAAGACCTTATGGGTATGTTCAGTGGTAAAACTTCCATGTGTTTCATCAAATGTCTGTATAACATTAGAAAAAAAAAGACTGTTATGGCCTCATGTAATGTGTTTTTAATTGTTTTCATCTTGAATGAGGACATGTGAGTGTCTATGTGTTTTCCTCTGACTGGGGGTTGACTGTGAAGGAAGTGCGCATTTGTCCAAAGCCACTGCAGGACTTGTCTTCATGCTGTCTATCTCTCTCTGATCCGACAGGGTCGGTAACGGTTAAAATAGCTGATGAAGGGACATGATGATTTGAGGAATAGCTGAGTCTGCATTGGGCAGAGCACTAAAGTGTTACCTGTATACTCTGACATACACAAACGAGCTGAAATGGTGACTAGATGCATGGAAGTCTTTGTTTTTTTTTTTTTTTTTCCCCCAGTTTTTTATAGTGAATAGACTGGTGTGTGCCTTGTTTTCAGTATGATGTGGTGTTCAGCTTAACTGTGTGCCTATTTTTTACTTGCAGTGGGGGAGGTGGGGTGTGCAGGAGGGGTTTTTGTGCAGACTTTATGAGTATTGATAGGTGGTTATAACTCTGCAATGGAGTGTTGACTCTTTTTACCTTTTAATGACTGTGCTTTAGCCTGTGGTTTATTTATTTTCTTGAATTTTTTTCTTTCACATTTTCTTGTTAACATGAAGTGTTTTGTTGTCAAAGGGGCGGCTGACCATCACTCTCAGAGATAATTGCAATATCGATCCCCTGCAACAAAACAAACTCTGGCTTGCATGCAGGAGTTTCTCTTTCTGTTTCCTTACCCATGATGCTGTGTTTTTCTTTTTTTTTCTCTTTCTCTCTTTTTGTTGAAATTATTAACCTATTCTTTTCACTTGTAGCTTACATCTGCAGGCAAACGATACCAGGCATTCATTTGATGCCCTGTCGTTTTCTTGCCTCTCCAGAGGCTGTCAATCAAAAAAAGAAAAGAATTAAAAAAACCTAAAGAGAAATTCCAGTCTCTCAGGGAAGCAGTACTTTGTAAAAAAGAAAAAACAAAACCAACACTTCTGAACAAAGCCGTGTCGAAACTTTTTAGTTCGGAATAATTATTTAGCTTTGCAATAAGCATTCAAAAAGTCCCTTCTAACAGATGGACAGACTCTAAAGGGGTCACAGGACTGTAGGTTGGAGACAGAGAGCTTTGCAGCTCTCTTAGACGGCAGCTGTTGGCTACAGTGATCTGCACAGCCTCTCAAATTCAGATGGAAAATGGGAGTCACTCAGCGGCGCTGTTAATAATGTATGGCACAGACAGGGCCGCATGGCTGTGGACAACAGGTGGGCCCAGGCGTGCGCCCATGAAGGCTTTCGGCTATGTGCCGGGGGGATTACCCATGTGTCCTGGTGATTTACAAAGCACCTTTATTTAGCCCCTCCACTCGCCGGCCCACAAAATGTTCTTCCCCTTGCTCTAAAAAAACCCGGATAAAGATGTGCTTTTTGTGAGCGCTTGAACGCATCGCGATACAAAAAAAAGGCCACGCCGGTAGACTTGGGTAACAGTCCCGTTTCAGGCCAGCCGAATTCCTCGAGCAGGTCGGGCCCCAAAAGCAACGGCTCTTGTCGACCGCGTCTCACTGTTTAATGAGGTGGGACGCCTCCGGTCACTTCATAAAATATTCAGGAGAGCCAGTGAAACAGTAGTCCGGCGTAGGCCGCGGCTGTAGTTTGAAGAGCCCTCTGCCATGTGCTACTGAAGGAGAAGATCAGCTTGTCCTTTGGAGATGACAAGAGGAACAAAAATAGCATGCTTCCAGCCTCTCTTGTCAGTCAAGTCGGCGTGTGTATGTTTGTGTGGGGGTGTGCGCCTGCAGCCAGAGGCCAGGGAGGGAGGGAGGGAGGGAGGGGGCGCTTGTCTGTGGACAGATATATTTCACACCTGCTCCTCAGTATTATTTACTGAGGGTGACTTTAAGTTTTAAGTGGGGACAAGTTTACCCGGATACAAAGGTTTTTATTTGTCCACTCGTACCCTTCTGTACAGCTCTAGCTGCCCTTCAAACGGACCCTTCTGCTCTTTCAAAACTCTTTCTTAAAAAAAAAGTTAAGTTAATGTATTTCGTTGAGGCTAAATTAACAGAACTGGGCCTTTGCAGAACATTACACAACTGCGATTGATGAGACAGAATTCCAATTAAATTGTAGTTGACTGCATTTTGGCCACTCTTCAAGACCTTTCTGTGTTTAGGGACCTATTAACATGTGTGGGCATGTGTGTATGTGTGCTGTTGGCGTGGCAGTGTGTGGACTGAATACCGTCCACTACTTGTGTTGATATGTTGTGGTGTTTTGTGATAAAACTCGCATTTTGTCAAATATGGTTTTCAGTGGTTTTCAGTGGTGCAGAGCTTGGCTGTGTCAACTCTTAATGCCTTACCAAGTTTCTGATTCAGGTGCCTTTTTTTTCTTTTTCTTTTGTTTAAATTAAAAGCTGCGCTTGTGTTTCTTTTGTGGTTTTTGCTGCTTTTTAACTGTTGACTTTTAGGTAGGGTTTTCAGTTGTTAATGAATGGATTTGCTGTGCTCTGAAGACTGGATTGACATATTTGGCACCTGCTTTTCAGTTTTCCAGAGTTTAGTTTCAGCATTGGGGGGCGACGGCCGGCTGTGGCTCCGCTCTGAACCTGTGCATCTTCATTTTCTTGTTCGGCAGGATCCCGGCGCACTACGTCTACCCTCAGGCCTTTGTCCAGCCCAGCGTGGTGATCCCTCACGTGCAGCCCTCTGCTGCCACGGCGGCTACTGCCGCCGCCGCCACCTCCCCCTACCTTGACTATACCGGGGCGGCGTACGCCCAGTACTCTGCCGCCGCCGCCACGGCGGCCGCCGCCGCCGCGTACGAGCAGTACCCGTACGCCGCCTCGCCGGCGCCCACCAGCTACATGACCGCCGCGGGGTACGGGTACGCCGTCCAGCAGCCGCTGGCCGCCGCCGCCACCCCGGGGGCCGCCGCCGCCGCCGCCGCCTTCAGCCAGTACCAGCCCCAGCAGCTCCAGACGGACCGCATACAGTAAAAAAAACAAAACAAAACAAAAAAACCCCCATAAAGACTATCTTTAACTCCAGAAAAAAAAGGGAGATCTCCCCCTCCAATGAAGAGGGTGAAGTTAAGAGGAGCAAAGAGTGAAGGTTGTTACTCCCCAAGTTTTAATTTAGCAGACCTTCTACCAAAGAGCCCGAAGAAAATATGTAGACAAATGAGGAATTCCTCTGTATTTTATTCAAGTGGCATCAGTATTGGATATATATGAATATTTAATATTTATTCAGCATTAAAATATCTCCTGTTAACTGAAATAGACTCACTTGACCTTGTGAACCGTTGTTCAGTTTTGTATGTAACATGCAGTGGAATTTGTATGAAAATCCCAAGTGCTTTCATGTCTTATCAGGTTTCTTCCACTACACGTTGAAAACCAACCAAAACACCTGCAGATTCATGAGAACAGTGGAATATGTCATCATTCACTTTTTTCACATTTGATAGTTTTGGACCAGTATTTTGCTTGGCAAAGCTATGCATACATCAAGGGGGAAGTCAGTATTTTCTTCTTTAGTTTTAAAAGCATTTTGAGTGGTTTAGATAAGAAGCTCCCGTTATCCTCTATTCTGTTGATGGTACATATGACAAGAGACATCTTAGAAGCACTGATGGTTTCTCCCCGTTGCATTAAACCTCAAGACAGCTGAGCAAAAGGGAAGGAACACTGCTGAATGTGAATCTTTCATTTAGATAAATATGTTTCATAGTGTGCCTTTTAAATTATGCTATTTATATATTTATTCTGGAACTTTACAGCAATAACCCTTTTTTTTTTTCAAGTGTAAGTATGAAGCCTGCTGTAGAACATGCCCGTACGTGCTGCTGCTTTTCTCGTGATCAAGAGCATATAATGGCGGTTTTAAACTTGGATTAACAAAGCACTGTCATCTGCACAAAGAACAAATGAGTGGGAGGCTGGGAGGAAGCTCAAAGCTTTCCTGTTTTCTGTAGTTTAACATTTTTGTCTCTAAGGTTTGTAACTCTTAAATGTCGCTTTTTATACTTGACCAGTTTGATAACGGACAGAGCTTTGTGGAATTATCTTTTAAAAATTTCTCACATTTCATGTCTTTTGACTTTAAAATGTTTTCTAATTCAGGGGCATCAGCTGTTATGCCTTGTAATGCATGACCTCCGAATAATGTGATTTGGGTAATAAACTGAAATTAACCTTCAATGAGTTTGCCCGCAGCGTCTGTTGGTCTATTGTGCCTCTCCCACTTAAAATCTGTCTGGTGAAAAGTTGCCACCGTGGTGGCCAAAAGGAACACAAAGCTGAAGCTAACATCTCAACTCTGATGATATCAGTGTTATGATTTATTCTTATTAAGTAACGAGCCATCCTAGTAAGTTTAGAATAGAGGCAAACACCCAGAATGCAAGGGGTCACTAAAGATGCATCACTTTTGTCAATTTTAATCCTCTGAGCGTTCTACACGTGAAATAATTTTGTGTGTGCAACTAACATGAAATTCGAGGTTATTGACACAAGTCATTCTATGTATTTTACTCCATTACCAGAGATGGGAATGTGCATTATCTAATAAGTAAATAGATAAGTGAACAGGTTGGTAGGATGGAGGCTCCTGCATTTAGGACGAATGACAAATTCAGTTTTGTTTTCTTATTATAAATAATTAGACGATTGCTTACCAACGTTGTAACCTACTGACACCTGCCGGTGATTGGGTCTTGAATATTGCTATATTTTGTATCTGACTGAACTTACGGTTCGTGTTTTGCGTGACGCAACCAGTTTCAGAGCACTTTCTATTTTACTGACGCATTTGAGGCGGAGCGGAGTTAAACTGGAAGTTTACATTTTATGCAATTTCCCAGGATGACAGGTTCACTTAACGTCGAAAAAAAGACAATTATGGGCTTTACTCTTGTTCATCATATCTAAAATATATCTTGAGGTGAACTTGAGATTGTGAGTACGACTGAAAAAGCCAACTGATACTAGAAGTACTACAATTTGATTCATAACTGTCTGAACATGAGCTAAACGTTGTCGTGTGTTTAAGGGCTTGTTATGAAATATTAAAAGCAAATTTGGTCAATGCATTGCCCAATTGTTTTTGTATAGTATCTCCAAATAAAAGACCGTCTTGTTACAAACAATTCAGGCCAGTGCATAGCCTTTAATATCTATACCTGCTCCTTTAGTTTGTCTGATTGTTATTTTTCCCATCCATTTCACGGTACCCGAATGCGACAACTTCCGTATCCTTTGGGGACATTAGAGGTGGTTTTCGTCAGTCAGAGTTCCTCAAAATTTAAAGCACCTTCGAAAGAACACAACAGATAATCAAGGAGAAAGTAAGTTTACATATATGATTACACGGGAATGAGTTTACACGGCTTTTGAATATTTCAGATATTTCGAACTTTGTTACCTTCGAGTTGGCTAGCCACGCTGTTTTTTTTTTATAGAAAGATGGCCAAATCAATTTATGCGAAACTTGTCAGTGACTAAAAATATCGCGTATTTAATGTAAATAGACACTGCTTTTACATGGATAATCAGAGAAATATTGACTATGCGAAGGTCGTTTCGTTTTTATACACAAAGTTGTGGCCTAAATTCCGTGTGTCCCTCTTGAATACCCGGAAAAAATGAAAATGCCTGCCATTGGTATCAAGGTAAATAAATAACCATTTAAGGATAAGAGTGGAAGGAGCTCTGTTTTTTTTTTTAGCCAAATATACAAATCGTGGACATTTTTTTTTGTTAGTGTGAGGCTTATCTTATTTGATATCTACCGGAAGGCGCCCGTGTCACGTGACTTCCCAACATTAGCCCTTTCTCTGCACATCTGCCTACGACCATCATCGAACTGCTGCCACTATTTTTCCCCTCTAACGACGTTTCATATGGCTTATCCTTAAGACGTCATCATTCCCAGACCCGTTCGACTCATCCGCCGGTCCTGCCAGCCCCTTCTCCCGACCCGAGGACGAGATGAGCACCGAGAAGACGGAGTACTTCCCCGTGGAGGCTGGGAAAGCTCAGCCTCCTCTTCCCGGGTATACGGTGTTTCCACCGGGGTTTGTGGTGGACGGGGCCGGGCAGGAGACGTACGCCGGGCCCGCTGCCCCCGGTTCTCTCCCCTTCCCCCCTCCTACCGCCTTTGCCCCGGTGCCCCCCGGAGCTTTTGGAGCGGCACCCGACCCCCAAAGGGGAGCCCTGGGCTATGGCAACCCCGCCTGCCCACCCTACTCGCCCCCAGCCCCGGGCTTTGTGGACAGCTATGGCGGTACGTACCTCTGATACTGTTCGTGTGGGGTCTTGAGTTCATTTGTAAGGGGGTGTTTAAAACCTGTTTGTTTGCCACTTCAGGTAATGTTTACCACAGCGAGGAGAACCCGCCACCTTTCCATGACAACCAAGACTTTGATTTTGGATTAGACAACAAGACCATCAGACGAGCCTTTATTCGGAAGGTAAGAGAGCTCTGGCAAAGGGAAATTAAGATGAATATTATGGGATGTGTATGAAGAGTCCATTAAGGTCAAGCAAAATAAAAAAATCATTTATTAAAATTCACATTAACCGTTATCGTTAATCAACAACAATCCTCTATTGATTTTTCTTCTATTTAAAAAACTGATGCAGTGTAATAAAAATTGAATCTGTATTAGGTAAAGTAGTTTTTTATTTAAAGAACTCCTGACATAAAACGTATAAAATAATTTCCCAGTGGTCCATTCTACCATCACCGTTTAATTCTCTTGAAATCTTAAGATTTCTGTACTTTGTCTTTTGATACAACCTGAGAATCACAGAAGCCATTGTCACCCTCATCTGTCCTCCGCCTAACGATGAGCTTCCTCCACCCACAGGTGTTCCTCGTGCTAAGTGCTCAGCTGATGGTGACGTTCGCCTTTGTGGCGGTTTTCACCTTTGTGGACGAGGTCAAGAGCTTTGTGTCGGTGAACATCTGGACCTACTTGGTGTCCTACATGGTGTTTTTTGTGTCGGTTTGTGCGATCAGCTGCTGTGGCAGCGTTCGGAGGAGGCACCCCTGGAACCTGGTTGCTTTGGTAAGAGGGTCTTTCACAAGAGGAAGTGGGAGGGGGGCGAGGTTGTTAGCACAGGAAACCCAGTGTTTCTTTCTTTTTCTCTCATTGATTGAAGGGTTTTTCTTTCAGGTGTAGTGATGCACTTGTGGAAAAGTCTTCTGTTTGATGTGCAGAGACTGACAGCTCAAACTACCTTGTTGCTCAATAGCTCAAATCTAGCTTGTGACAATTTGTTGTAGTCAATTATTTCAGTTATCAATGTAAAACCATAACTGTAATATTACACTAATTCTTATCAGGAAACTGATTCTCCTCGTAAAATGTGTGCAGCAGTGCTGACGTTGTGTGTGGCTGTTTTCAGTCTGTCCTGACCCTCAGCATGTCCTACATGGTGGGGACGATTGCCAGCTTCCATCAGACTGACTCTGTGATCATGGCAGTGGGCATCACAGCTCTCGTATGCTTCACGGTGGTCATCTTCTCTCTGCAGGTTGGTCTCTGACCCTCGGGTGCATCGATTGTACTCAGGCGCAGACGCTACTAAAACGCTGTTTAACTGTCTCCCTCCCACAGACCAAATATGACTTCACCTCCTGCTACGGCGTGCTCTTCGTCTGTCTCATTGTCCTGATCGTCTTCGGCATTTTGTGCATCGTCATTCGAAACAGGATCCTGGAAATCGTGTATGCTGGACTGGGAGCACTACTCTTCACCTGCGTAAGTCCTGAGATAAACAGTTTTCCTCTGACACATCGGGGGAAGGATTGTGTGAAAGGGTTGCAGGTTAGATACCCGCTGACAGTGATTTATGGTATGAAATCTTCTTAGACTGCAGCTTGAATTTGGATAGAAATTGGACAAACTGGCGTTAGTTTGATAAACATGATGCTACGATAGTTTGTATTTCAGACCTTTATATTTGGTTCATGGACACTGTGTTTTTACATTCATTCCTTTGTGCATAAATTATTATGGGTAATAGCATTAAAGCAAACAATCTGGGCTTACAGCTGCAGATAACTTAACCACGAATCAGTTTCAGGTTTAGCTTCCTCCTTACTGTGCAGCATTACAGTTTACTGTCCAGTAGCTTCCTTATTTGCTCAGTCACTTTGAAGCCCTTTTGTAGTCTCTCAAAAGTGTTGGCTTGCTATCAGATCAGAGCATAAACAAAAGATGCTCAAGCAACTTTGGATCTGCGGATGCAGCTCCTGCAATAAGTTGTCAGGTTGTCAGGAAAACATACTTTATTTATCCCAAAGGAGATGTGCAGTACACACAGAGTCCTCGTGAGTTTTCAGCATGACGAGTTATTGCTGCTTTGACATCTTTCTGTGTTTGGAGCAGTTGGATCGGTCTGTGTGGTTCTCTGTATGTATTTGTTAGTCTTGGCGAGTTTTTGTTTTCCATCTCAAGCACATGTGCTCAGAGAACATGAATGCAGAAATACTTTCAACTCGATTCCCTTTGATAGCCAGCAAAAGTCTGTATGAGTAAAATATGTGATGTTGCATTTAGAATTTGTTCTCATTCTGTAGATTAAATTTAAAATGAGCTCAACTTTAATTCAATATCAGTGTTTTGACCTGTTTTTGAATTTCTGTGCGTTCTTACAGTTCTTGGCAGTAGACACGCAGCTGCTGCTTGGCAACAAGGAACTGGCCTTGAGCCCAGAGGAGTATGTCTTTGCTGCCCTGAACCTGTACACCGACATCATCAACATCTTCCTCTACATTCTTGCCATTATTGGAAGAGCGAGGGGAGGCTAAGCAGTGAAGCCGACACATAAATATTTAGACAGAAAACTGCTTTCTGCTTGTGTATAGAAGTGAATTTCCATAATCATCAGTTTTGATTAGCTTCCTAGTGTTTGCTCATTACATGGTTAGAGGTAGCTTTCACTTCGTCCTGCGTAGATGCTATTTTTTGACGGTAAAGGGAAGCGCTCCAAGTGGCAGATTTGTTGGTTTTGTGTGTTTAAAAACTGTATTTAGGTTTTTTGAAGTTTTTTTTCATGCTAAATCGTTAATCGGTGCACAGATGGGAAAGCACAGACCCTTTCTGATGCTTTCTAATGTATGAAACATGCTCAGGAGGTGTTTCAAAGGTCAGCATACATCTTTTCCACCTCTAAGACTTATGTGGTGGCATTTGCTCAGCTTTAAGACTTGTAAAGTGGCGAATACTCTTGGAAAAAAAAAAATGAAGCGTGGGCTTTGAGCTAAACCCAAAAGGTGGCAGAACGAAAAGTCCAGTGGATGAAACCGTGACAGCTCAGTCTCCAAGACAACAAAAGTTCTAAAGCCAATCACTGGATGACACATTTTGAAATGTTACTATGACGATGTCATTGTGTTGTTTTATTATTTTTTTCTTTCTCTCAAAGTATATTTCTAATGCCTGATATCAACTTTGATGTTTTGAACAGCCTTTTTTAAACCTGATGTCTGTCCTTTCTATCTATTAAAACAATCAACAATCACATTCCACCAAACAGCCGTGTTCTGTTTTGATTTAATTTGGCATTTTGGAGTGTCGGGGAACTTGTGGAGATTCGGGGGCTCAGCTCTGTGTCTGGGAGCCTCAGAATGAGCTCCGGGTCGTCCTCTGCAGCCACAAAGGCCAAAAATCAGCAGCTCATGCAGGAAAATGACCAGTTGAAGTCAGTCTTAAATCTGCTCAAGGAAAACATGGAGCTGAGAGCCAGGATGCAGAGCTGGAACGACGAGACTTTGGAGGAGTTCACAGGTATTTTTATGCAGGTTTGGTTTAGCCGCTAGGGGGCAGCCACAGTTCAGCTGAAATACTAAAACACGGGGCTGAATGAGCAGTGGTCAGATACTTAGATTATGAATGGCATGGGCATTTAAAGCTTTTGTGTTACAGCCGTATCACTTTGTAAAATATACAGTAAAGTGGAAAAATGTACATATATAACACATTTTGATGATAAAAAATTGAATGAAAGCAACTTATTTATGTATTTAAAACATGGCATGTGGAAAACTGACCAAGCTGTTACCTAGCAACACAGTTCCAAAGAGACCCATCCATATAATTTCAGAGAAATAAAAAATAAACAAATGCATCAAAGTATAAATACGATATGACGTATGTGTAGACTATCCAACAATACAGGACTAAGTACACTTCTGAAGAGAGGACTAATAGCTGATATTGCCTCAGCCACTTAGCTGTTCTCGGGGAGGCTATTCCATCAAGTTCTCCCTTATCATTTTTTTCTTCTGTACTCTGGATTTAAAGGGGAAAAAACACTGGATAACAAAAAATCTGTCTGTTTGCTAAGTCTCAGGAACAAAGTCATCCTGTCTCGGACAGTCCAGCATTAATGAGCGACGGTTCAAGAGAGACTTGCAGCAAACCAAAACAGAGCACGAGCACCGGACATCGTCTCCCATCGACTTTAAGACTCTCCTCCAGTGCTCTGCACACAAAGACACAGAGGAGGCAGCGGAGGTCAACAGCTGCCGGGCTGATGTTCCCGTTTCTGTCACAGGTCTCTTCCTCACAGCATTTTATGACCCACAAGACCTGTGCTTTTTCCCAAAAAAATGTTATGTGTGTGTTAATGTCTATAATTAATTTGCAGCTCCACCAAGGATGTTTGGAGAGATTGCCTATCAACTTGATAGGAGGATTCTGTCTTATATATTCCAGGCCCATGAGAGACTCTACGGTTTCACACTGTTCAACATACCAGAGAAAATTGTGGAGGCAAGTTCATGATGAATTCCCTTACTTGCGTCACAAAAGATCTAAAATCCCCCACATAATACAGAAACCCATTTTATTTGATCCTGAAAGGTGATACTGTCCTGCCTGACACGTTCAGAAGAAAGTCTCAGACCTGTTTTCCTCTCTTGCAGGTTAGCACACACCCTCTGACAGGAAAGGTGGATGAGGGCTATCAGCTTCATCTCACTCAAAGGTATGTGGACCTCATGGATAGGCTGAGCCAGCTCGGGTACAAACCAGGTCTCCATCCTTCTTTCTCTGAATTCATCGTCAACACCTATGGGATCCTAAAGGGGAGGCCCAGTAAAAACAGTAGCAGTGGGGCCGACTGCAACAGCCCGGACTTTTTGAGAAAGTTGATAATGTCTACTGCTCCGAAAAAACTTCAGAAGGACCTGCTGCTGCTGCTCACTTGTCTCTGCGACATGGCAGTGAAGGACGAGAAGCCTCTTCTTCTCTGGTAGTCATCGCTATATCCAAGAACAACACACCACACGAAATAATCTTTGATCGTTACGAGTTGCAAGAGATATGGTGCGGGTGTGATTTTGTAGGCGCTGAAAACAAGCACCATTTAACACAAATAAATGTGCCTGCTCATACAGTTTCTAAAATCTGTGGTTTGTGCTTTTCACACGACACTTACTAAAATGCCAAATTACAAGTGCTCATGTTTAAATGGATCTCAACATTTACTGTTCAGTGTGGAAGAATGGAGGTTTATCATTGATCCAAAAGAAGAACCCTCTGATTGCAGCTCATTAAAGTGATAAAAGAGGGTAAAAAAGACAAGTCTATCCAGTTAAATCCTACACATCTCAGCAGAAGGCCTCCCTTGATTAAATCCCTAAAAGGTTACTTTAAATGGAATGTCTGGCATTTTGAAACTCACCTCTTGGATGAAGAGCAGAAAGGGACAAAGGATTTTTAACTAACCTGTCTTGCGAGCCTGAAGAGGAAAAGTCTTGTCATGGCAGATCTACAACCACACTGACTACTGTGAAACAAATCAACTCGAAACTCAATGACAAATACAGTAGCAGATAAAAAAAACAGGTTTTTATCTCATCCATACCAGGAGAAAACCCTTTGCCATCTGAGTTCAAGCAAGCTGTTTGAATTTTTGACACAGCAGTTGGAGAAAGATTTAAATGTGTTTCTTAACTTTCTCCTTTCATACAAAACAAATCCAAATCCAATAGATTTAAAATGGTTATTAAAAGTATAAACCATACTTTTGCTATGTTTGAACAAAAAACAAACAGTAACGGAAACTTTTCTCATAGTCGCTTCAGGTGAGGTCACGTGTCAGACAGTCCCGCCGCCATGGCAACGCCGTTGGGGTGTGGCTTAATAATGCCGCGAGCCGCTGAGGGCAGGGAGGGTTTACGTACCAAAGGACTACTCTAGTTGCTCAGGTTATCTGTTTTCCAACCTAAAGCCCGTCGGTTTGCTCCTAGACAGCGAACACAGAATAAATACACGCTGTTGGATAAGTGTTTTAACAGGTTGCTCTTTGAATTTGTTCATCAGGCGGACGGCCCCGACCTCCACGTTAAGGTAAGATCAGACCTTTAGCGACAGATTTTAAGCTAGTTAGGCGACGTGGACAGGTGACAGTGAAAAAAATGCAGTAATTGAGAGGTTTCTGTGCTCTATAACACATGTATTACGCGTCATAATTCATTAACTTAACATTGTTGTGACACAGTGGCAGGGTTTGGTGTTTCTTACACATCACTGATATTTGAAAAGAATTCCTGAATGTTTATGATTGTTTATTAATAGCTTGAACATATCCGCTGACAACCTGTGCGAGTTTCATCAGCAGTTTCATCGACCTGTTGAATTATTCGTGCACAGGGTCCCTTTACGGCACTTTATATGGTTTTAATATCCATTTTGAGGGAATAATTGAGGTGCTGGAGCTTATGAATTACACGTTTGATTCTTCAAAAATACATTTCTTGTCAAATAGATGCCACTCTGTGAGTCAAAAGCTGAAAGTCCGCGGTAGTTGATAACCTTTGAACGCATCACTGAGACGTTCAAGGCGAGATCAACAGACTCGTTTTTTATTAGGTCGGGTCAGGTTAGTTAGTCCAATGAGATAAACATTGTTATAAGATAACGTTGCTAATGTTTGTTAGCAGACCACACAAGAGAAAGGCAGCTGTATCGTTCTATATTTTCTTTAGCATAAACGACCCTACGTTATGCTATTAATGCGTTATATCAGAGTTGTCATCTTTTCTCTATTAAAAAGTGGCTATACAGGTTTAGTAAAATTATTGTTTAACTAGTGGTGGCTCGCTGCTTTTGTCAGTAACTTTTATGTGGCAATACACATAAAGGAGTGGTGTTCAGGCAGATATTTCTTTAGTCATCTCAGTTAGAAGCAGTGGGCAGATGGTCACAGCTGGATTACACCATGTTTTTTTCCCCCTCTTTGCCTCTTTTAAAAGTGGTTGTCACATATTACATAAGCACGTTTTAAGCTGGCCTGGTGCTACATGGAAGCCTCTCAATACTGCAGTCATGTCAGAACTGCATCATGTTTTCCACTGCATGTACGGACATGAAGTCGCCAAGCCAGTCATTACCGACAACTTGTGTTGTCAAAGTTGGCATATTTTGCAAGAGCAGAGTCATATCATAAGAGTCTAACGTCTCTCTCCTCTTCTTTTTTAGTGTCCTCTGGAGCTTAGTTGGGTGAGACTTGTCTCAAGAATGCGTCCAGACCTGGATTTCCGGATGCAGTTTGTTCCTTTTGTTATGTAGAGAGCCATGGCCCTGCAGGCATCTCCTTTTCCCAATGAGTTTGCCTCAGGCTTACACGCCATAGGATGGGCATTAATCCTGCCTTGCTTCTGGTGCCTTAACCGTGTTATTGCGGTGTGCAAGTCCACCACCCAGGAACAGATCCAGCGATATGAGCAGGAATGCTACCTCCACCCTCTCAAAGTGTTCTTCGGCTCCATTTTGTTCTTCGTTCTTTTTCTCCTCACAGCGCCCCTGGCTCTCCTGGGCTTTCTTCTCTGGGCACCCCTTCAGGCCTGCCGGAGGCCTTTTTATTACCACCGTGAGGTCCCAGCCAAACCTGAAAACGAGACAGACAGGGGCTTTGAGCTCACGGGGAAGGCATCGTTTGGGTTTGCCACGGCCAACCTGTGTCTGCTGCCTGAAGGGCTGGCTCGCTTCAACAACCTGGGCCACACTCACCGCAGGGCGTCTGCCATCGGCCAGCGCATCGTGACGGGCGTGTGTCGGCCCAATATCAGGATCTTCGTGGACTCCCCCAGCAGCTGCGGTACCCTCAGCCCCTCCAACAGCATTCTCCCCGCAGCCAACTCCAACACATATGGAGCCACAGATAGACAGCCTCCGCGTCCGGTGTGCCACCACGCCGAAGCACATGATAGGCAGGTTCACGTCGTATGCGTGTCCTGTGACGATGCGGAAGAACCGTCTCCCGTCCTCAATTCCAATCAGAACTCCAACCAGCAGGGCCGTCCCAGCCACCGGAGCGCTCCCCGAGCTTTCCTGTCTCAAGGCCTCCGCCAGCGGGGCGATGAACCCTGGGAGGTGTCGTCACTGTTCCCCGCCAACATTGACATACTGTGCCTGGAAGAGGTGTTTGACAAGAAAGCGGCGCAGAAGCTCACGGATATACTAAAACCAGTGTTTGGACACATACTGTACGACGTTGGCGTGTATGCCTGCCAGCCGCCATGCATGTGCTCCTCTTTCAAGTTCTTCAACAGCGGCCTGTTCCTGGCCAGCAGGTTCCCCGTGCTCCAGGCGCAGTACCACTGCTTCCCAAATAGCCGCGGGGAGGATGCGCTGGCTGCCAAGGGTCTCCTCTCTGCTAAGGTATTGAGTCCTCCCCTCACTCCAAAAAGTTGTGTAATCACTGAATGTTTAAGACTCACTGCAAAGAAACACAGATGTTCAGCACAAGGCTGTAATTAAAGATACCGTTTTCTCTAAGTTAGCATCATTACATAGACCATCTTATTATTAATATGTTATTAGATAATTAACAATCTGTCAGTGAAGAAGCAAAAATGGTAAATGAATGCCTTCCTCTGGAATGGATAAATCAGGAATGAGTTATTTTGTGAGCCCAGTTTATAGGGATCCCTGCTGATTCATTCTGAGGAGTTGACAGTCTTTAAACATGTTTAGCAAAACTCCAGATAGAAATTTGCCTTCTGTCAGAGATCGAGCACTGTGATAACATGATGCTCTACGCACTTTGTCTGTCCCAGGTTTTAATCGGGCAGAATCGAAAACAGAAGAAAGTGGTCGGATATTTTAACTGCACACATCTTCATGCACCAGAGGGTAAGTCCTTGCTTTGGACTTGGTTTATGCCATTGAACTTAACTCCTTTTCTTTCTTTTTTATAAGTGAAGCCAGTCAGTCTGGGTGATGCATTCTCCCTGTTCTCTAACCAGGGGAAGGAGAAATTCGCTGTGAGCAGCTGAACATGGTTACCAAGTGGACTGCTGATTTCCAGGCTGAGAACAAACAGCCGGATGAGGAGGTTGTTTTTGATGTGCTCTGCGGGGATTTTAACTTCGATAACTGTTCACCTGGTGCGTCCCACAACAACACATCCATTGCTGTCAGTATTTTGTGTTTCTTTGATATATTTCTGTTTTTTCTTTCACTAGATGACCACCTAGAACAGAATCATCGTCTGTTTGACGACTACAGAGACCCATGCAGAGCAGGGCCTGGGAAAGAGAAGCCCTGGGTCATTGGTTGGTATAATTTACCTGGTGATTAGAATGTGTTGCTACATTCTATAAATATGGCAAATGTAAATTGCGGCCTGTGTTTGACTGAAGGTACTCTCCTGGAGCAGCCAACTCTCTATGAAGATGATGTGAACACTCCAGCAAATCTACAAAGGTGGATTTTAGCCCAAACATTCATCCGTCAGGAGCTACACTGTTTTTTCTTGGTGGATTACAAGCTGCTTGGTCTTCTGCTGTTTTCAGAACTTTAGAAAGTGAGGAGCTGAGGAGGCAGTACATCTCACCTCCGGTTCCTGCAGCGTACTCTCCCCTGGTGTACCCGGAGGAGGGCCAGCCTTGGATTGGACGTCGCATTGACTACATCCTCTACCGTGAAAGCTCTATTTCAAAACAGTGTCGAACAGTATGGACACCCTCGTTTTTTTTTTACTGTCACTCATAAATGATAAACTGCAAGTTTTTTTTCAAATATCCCATTCACTGATAGTTAATCAAATGTGTAACTGATTTTCTAACTTCTTTGTGTCCATCTAGGAAATTGAAGAGGTGAACTTTATAACACAGCTGGCTGGCCTTACGGATCATATTCCTGTGGGCTTAAGACTTCATGTAACTATGGATGCTGATGGATGAGGAGAATTTCTAATGGCAGGAGCAAAATGGACAAAAATCTTTGCAGATTCAAGCAGTTTCATGCTTGGATTTGTAAATCCACCAGTCAGACTGGCGGAAGATATTTTTTTATGGATTTATTGAGGTTTCATATGACATCTTATATGACAAGTTATAATGAAAATAAAAAGTGCTTTTCAGGCAGTGTGTATTGATTTTTGTAAAATTATATATTTTGGGGATTTTCCACTGAAAAGATTTCCATTGGAAATAAATGAAAAGCGTTTTTTTTCTTTAATGTTCCATTATTAGCGTCTTATTTTCTGTGTTTATCTCATCTATATATAGAAAATCAGTACATTTATCCATGTTACTTGACCTTACCTTTTCTGCTGGTATATAGTTTAATCCTCTGGATGGTTAAGATTCGTTACGGATCTGGTGGAATATTGTTTTTTAGAATGAATAAACTGATTATTAGTTTGTGTTTTATAAATTGCTTGAAGAGAAATCCACAAGATACCCAATCTGGCATTCATTTTTCAATGTATTCGATAATTTTTCAGATGTGAAAGTTAAACAAAAACTATCTTTATGTAATAACTGAAGGGCAACATTCTAGATTTCAGAACTTGAACTTCCATGAAAAATAACTTAAGTGGCAGGGTGATCCTCCATTTTAGGTGGAACAATAAGCCTTCAGCTGAATGTTTAGTATCTATTTGAACAAAAGTTACAACCCTAAAGTGGATTAAGTAAGTATAGGAAAAAATGTAATCGATGGACAGATTCAGAAGGTTGCTAGATGTAGTGATGGAAATTTGAAGAGGTGTCTAGTGCCCCAAAAGCCCTTTTTTTTAAGCACATCTGTGTTGATGCAGCAACAGAATGAACATTCCTCTGAGATTTTTTAGTTGTTGAATGTCTCTTTTATCACTTACCGACAAAATAAACCCTAATAAATCACCTGCGTGCATTTAAACATCGTGACAAGTCAAGATACCGTTTTTATCTAGGATTTTGGAACTCATTTAAACGTCAACAGTGTTAACTATAAGGTCAGTACATTTTGTCATTGATAGGAGGCGACAATGCTGAACTTCAAGCGCAGAACCAAAACCAACAAAGAAGAAGTACGAACCAATCAAAAGCCAAGGACAGGCACTACTTCCTATTTTCAGCCCCCTGTACCCTCGCGTATATCATAATATGTAACAAGATTTTTATTTTACTGAAGTTAAAAACATGAACGTTTTCTGTCGGTCCAGGGTAGTTGTATCGTTTTTCCGTAGAAGTCACAGGCTACTAGAGCAAACAGGCCATTTAAGAGGTGTCAATTTGTGTGGTAAAGCTCGATGTCTGTCAGAAAATTTACCCTCATGTCGACAACGGTGGCATCATGCAGCTTCAGTCAGGTGTCGCTTTGGCAGCAAAAGATGCTACTCTGATATCGGTGGAAGCACACATTCAGAGAGCAAGGACAGGTTGGAGGAAGAATCGTACGAAAAGGATGATAACAGCAGGAAGGGTCAGAGTCAGAGTAAGTTTTTCCTGCTTATTTACACATAAACAGAGACAGGGATTCCTGCATAATTGACGTAGCAATAAGAAAAAGCAACAAAAAACCCCTTAAAAACCTTGAATTGTATGTAAGTGGGAGAAAGCAAACTAGTTGCCCAGTAATCTGTATAATATGACATTTAAATTAAATCAGGCCATTGAAAGTTGGTCATGTTGTTTTTTTTGACAGGAAAGTGTTTGTAATAAGTAATTAGTTGTAATAACTTTGCCTGTAAGTTCTCCAAATGAATTGATTTTATTCAAATTTACAACATTTTTTACAAAAGAATTCACTTTGTAATGACATCATCTGTGGGTACAGGCAATACTGTCGTTTGCATGGTCGTTTATTTAAATAATTTTCTTATAACAAAATTATAACAATGAGATGGTGACAATTTAAACATTGAATAATAAAACATGTTCAGTATTCATAGCAACCTACAGATTATTCTATGATAAAAACATTTTTAAAAACTCATAAGATGTTCAGTGCTGGGAATATTTTCAACGGAATGATTCTTTTTATTTTTCCAGGATCTTCAGAAACCTTCAACCTGGAAGTCCTGGTGTCTTTACTTCGTCAGGAAAATGCTGTGGACATCTGTGTGATAAAAGTGCCAGATAATATCAAATATCTAGAGTATTTCCTTGTTGTCAGCGGCATATCAACCAGACACCTCCGTGCAATGGCACTTTATGCCATCAAAGTGGTAACTAACCATATTTAACTTATTAATTAGATGATAAGTTTCAGCTTGTATTTGCTTTAAACTGTCAATGCTTTCCCTCCAGTACAAGTTTTTGAAGAAAGATGGAGATCCAAACGTTAAACTGGAGGGGAAAGATGCAGAGGACTGGATGTGCATTGACTTTGGTATGTGAAGCCTTTGCTTTTCTATCCTCAGGTGCCACGTTCATGTTAATGATTGTTGCTGGAGTTACTTGAGTGGGTTTTCTCTGTGTCAGGTAATATAGTCGTTCACTTAATGCTGCCAGAGACCAGAGAGGTGTATGAACTGGAGAAACTCTGGACTCTGCGTGCCTATGACGAGCAGCTGAGGAGGATCCCTGCAGAGATGCTGCCAGATGACTTTATATTGGATGTTGAACAGACAAAGTGACCATTCGCTTCAAACTATGCCCAAAATGAACAACTCAGAGAGTTACAAATTTAAACAGATCCATCCCCTAACCTCATCTTATTGTTTCCCCACTGAGCACAATATTAAAGATGAAGCTTACTGGATGGACTGAGTTTGAAGAAAAAGCTTTTTGTGTCACATTGTGAGGATTTATAATAAATTATTGTTATACAATTTTTATCATGCCTGTTGTTACAATTTTAGTTGTTTATTATTATGTAGTGCAAATGTTTGTACTCTGTTTTTTACTCAAAATATCTCTAAGAAAGGGTGACAGTGATCTCATTACATTAAAAAATATGAAGGGTATATCTGGATTTTCAGATTATTCATAGAGGGGTTCCTCTAAAGATTACTTATTTTTCACTTCTTTATTTCACCCTGTCATATGTAAAATAATAATTTTGGTCCAAACTTTTATATTCATTCAGTCAGATTCTTGTTGGTGAGCTGCCCCTATTGATAGATTTAAAGGGGGGAAATAACTTTCCAAAATTATATGTTGTCTGCTGTATTAAAGAAAATATAAACACAGTAAAAAGAGGTTTAATCTGTAGGTAAGTTTTTTTTTATCTTAAAAAGCATCTGCACAGTCAGACTGAATGTTTAGCTCATCCAGATTTTTGTCCACATACTGAATTAAAATAAGTAGCCCACTTGTTGCTTCCTGGAGACAGAGAAAGATTACCTGGAAATAAACAGTTTAGCTCCACTGTCGTGATTGCACCCATGTCCCAGCCACAGGTGACAGGAGTGCGTCCTTTTTCAAGGTTCGAACAGATGAGCTTATGAAAAAAAGAATTCAATGTCCTAAAAGACAACCCTTTAAACGAACAATTAAAATTTTTTTCAAACTGTGTGGGACAAATTATAAAATTAAGCTTCAGTAAAAGGGGGTCACCAAAACACAGCATGCAACAAGATGTTTTCCTCCAATACAAACACGGCTTCAAGGAAACAAGATGTTGGCCAAACTGTTGTGACATGCATTTTTCTTATTCTTCCAGTGAAAGACTGTACATTGGGTAACGTACACGTAAGTCGGTCAGCCCTTGTGCAAATATAAGTGTGTCTGCAGTCTGTGGCTGTTTGGTCTGTGCAAAGATCTCACATTCACAACTCCATTCTGGGCTGTTCTAAAGCTCCACAACCTACAATTTGAAAATGATTGATGGAAAATTGCAAAATATTTGTAAAGATCTGTAAGTACTCAAGGCTGTTTTTCTTGGGAATCAGACCCTGAGGGTAGAGAAAAACATACATAAAAACTCAGGCAGGCGAACACATTCACATGCTACGTGGATCTTTATCATGTCTTAGTAAGCCACCATCATACTTCATTGATTAATAGTTGGAGCATTAACTAAATGTGAAAAAACAATGAAGCGGACATGCCCGTGCAGAGCCTGTTGGCAGGATCCAGAACAAACTAGTTCAGAAACAAAGACAGAACACGACAACTTGAGAAATAATATATATTGACCCATATATCTGATTTAGCCTTTCACATTTATTGTGGCATTCATTAATACACACTCCTGTTTGCCTGATCATTTGAAATTGTGGGGGGCCAGTTTTGTGTTGAGCCAACTTCTCTGCCAGGCAGGAAATTGAAATGTGAGGGGAAATGTTTCAATCAAAGTTTGCCACGCTTGCTAATTTTGTCATTATCTTCGCAATGTTTTTGTGCCCACTGTTGTGCAGCCATTAGGCGTGATGCTGTTACACTCATAGATGGAATTTGCAAACCGACAACATTTTGCACAGAGATGAGAGCCTGTTAATCCGTAGCTGCTCATTACTCCCCCAGTGATCATCTGGATGGGGTTTGATACTTTTATCTCGCAGAACATCCAACCATGGCGCTCAATTTCAGTCGTCTGAGCCCACCTGTTTTTCATAGTGGTTGAAATTTTCACAAACGCTATGATGAACAGTATTTAGGATTTAGTTTCCTCTGATATGAGGCGCTGCTCTGCAGGTGAGCTGACACATGGCCCCAGCTTTCTCCTGGCGAACGGGCTCATGAGGAGAGAGCACATCATCTGGATCAGGCAGGACACTTAAGGCTCTCTGTGCTAAAGCCACCTGCTCCTCATTTGTCATCAAGGTGCCTGCTGGCTGAGATGACTAAGAGTGTAAATGAGAAACTTATTATTGACCACTCTCCGCACGCCATATGTTTTATTTCCACGGTGAACAACGATTCCTTATAAGGAGAAACAGGAAAGGCTCTTAAAGCATTAGTCCATAGCTATCCCACATAATGTATGGGTTCATATATTTATTTTTTTATTAATGTGTTTTCCAGTGTTTTTTCGTGTGTCAATGCAGAGTCATTGTGATGCTGGAATAAAAGGAGAATGAATCATTGTATGTGGTACCTACATATCCAACATATTTGATATAGTTTTTTGCTTTGATCTCAGGAAACTTCAAAGCGTTGTTACTGATTCAAATTCATTCAGACCATCGATGATAATGGCTTGAAAGGGATACTTTTTGCCGTGGTAAAAACTTAAAAGCTGCGTGTCTGAAATAAGCCATTCCGGAATAACACAGCGGGTTGTTTACAATTCAATATTAGGCCAAAAGTTGTAGTTATTTCTTGTTTCGGCGAGGAGTGTGCTGCAGCTCACGCCTTGTGGCCATGGGTGACGCCAGCACCAATCTACTGTCAAATTTCACCTGAGTGCTCTTCAAAGAAAATAGATGCTATTAAAGTCGTCTTACAATTTGCGGCCTGAAAGCGATTTGTGCCCTCCATCACCTGGAATTGGAGGTCTATGGGGTTGTCTGATTTACGGAGCTTACTTAAACTATTTGGCACCATTTGGAGCCATGCTTGGTGGTTTGCTAAAGCTTGACGAATTAAGACAACTGCCTGTCAGTTGGTTTTGTCGAAAGTGGTGTTTTAACCATTTTCTAACCCCGGACACACAAGAGAAGCGATTAAATCTTTGACTCCATCTCTGGAGTGTAACTCACGGCGAAGAAGCCATTTTGACCATTGTGTGTTAACAAAAGCCATTACAGGTCTCGCTTCTTGATTCTTTACTTTGTTTCTGGATGCAAGCCCCCTCCCAGTCTCTTAAATCAACTGTGACATAATCTTTTTCCAAACACCTGGGGGATCCAAACATTTTGGAACTTAATTTGAAAACAACTGACCATCATCAGCCACTTGAAGTTACACATCATCAGCTTCATGAAAAGCTGTCACGCTGGTTTTAGTCTTTTGAGTGCGCTGGGTGGCTTGATAAAGATGTTAGACTACTTCCCCCTCGTGAGTCAACACTTTTCCGAGTCCAAATCTTCCTGTGTGGGGTAATTAAAAGAGAAAAAAAAGAGCCGGAGTAGAGAAGAATAAAATACTAAATGGAAGATAGTCAGTGTTTTGTTAAACATAACAATATGACACAGGAGTGATTAAATCCCTCAAACCTGCTAATTCCAAATGCTGTTTTTGTGAATTCATTGCCGAAAAACAAAAGAGGCGTTCTCCAAAAGGTCACATTTGAATGAATCGAATGCTGACAGCTTTTAGAGTTTTCATGTTCTAACTGCGCATCTCCATTTGTTTCACTACTCTGCTATAACAGGTTTAATTAACCGTTAGTCAACAGCTATTTCTCAGGAGTAACTTTAAAGAGGATGACATTACTCCCCTCCCCACACAGAACCCGCCGTATAAAAGACGGCCAATGTTGGAGGTCTGACAGAGGCGTCCTGAACAGTGAGAAAACTGACCACAGCTGGATTTCCAATAGTAAGGATATTCATTTTCTTTCCCATATTTCATTTTAGACTGTTATTTCTTTATTGTGAGCAGGTACTTACTGACAGATTTAACAGCTTTTGTGTTTTCAAATGATCGCTGGTATGTGAATGGATGTAATATGGAGTATTTCTTTGTCATTTTGGCACACGTTGAATTGTAGGGCACCCTCTGACGCTGTGATGTCGCCGAGCATTCTGGCTCTCTGTCTGCTGGTCTGCATTCACTCCGGCATAAATGCATATCCAGTCAAGCCTGTTGGTCCACGGGAAGGAGCACCACCTGAGGAACTCGCCAAGTATTATTCTGCACTGAGACACTACATCAATCTGATTACGAGACAGAGGTCAGTCTTAGAATTTCTATGGTTTTACGTAGGTGGGGTAAGTCATGAAATTGTGGGCAATAGGTAATTAATGGCAACTCAATTGTTTATTTGAATGTACAGGTATGGAAAAAGAGACACTCCAGACACTCTATTTTCAGACGTGTTACTGAGGGAGAACACAGAGACTGTTCCAGGGTCCGACTATATCAGGTAAATTGCTCTGATGTTAATTTGCTCTTAATCATTTAATAAAAAAACAGACAAAGCAATTCTTATGAAGCTGATGATAATTCATTCATTTTTCACTTCATCGAGGCAGAATCTGTCGATTATCTATTCTATCTAACTAATTTATAGATACCCGTCATGGGAACTGGAAAAGTGTTTCTGAAAATGGGCTGAAATAATCTGTAAATTCTGATGGTATCCATGCAGGTATGAGGAACTGCCCGCGTGGTGATCCTACAGGACATGTCCCACTTCGACCGACTCTGAAGACGCTGTGGTGTCTCTAACTGACGTAAAGTGAACTTGTGTTGCATGGAATAAACGCTGCGTAAAGAAACCTCTGTGTATGTCTTAGCATTTATTTACCATGGATTGCATTTACATGTCCACTAGATTTATAGGGGAAGTTCCATGGCTATAGATGGTTGTTTATGTAGACAGAAAAACCTTAAGTCTATTTTCTGTTTCCTGAGAGGTGCAGGTATGCTGCACAGGACATGCCATTTTTACCTGTCTAACTGTAAGATGATGAGAACATGGACAAACATGTCCGAAACCAAGGAATATGAAAAACAATTTGACAAAATAGTGACAAATTGGCAGGGAGATTCAAAAGCTAGATACTACTATGCTCGTAAAGCATACTCGTATGGGCCTATCATGCCATGTAAGGTCACTGGACTTGACATGTGGGAAACAATGCACCATAGCACAGTAATATATTCAGCCAGGAGAGGATGAACAGCTCCCCCCTGGTGAACTGACTCCATAACGCTTCTGTGAGGACACTGCAGCATATGTTGTTTCCACAACCAGAATCTCTCCGATTGGGTCTAACGGCGATTATTTATTTGTGAGTTTAGCATCACACTGTGAGCTTGTCTGTTATGCTGAGACTGCTGTGATACACCTGCAGTCTGACTAAATAAAGCCGAGCTGTTTAATCCAATCAACTGACCTGGATACATCAAAAGTAAGTCGTGTAACACTGCAGTGCAAGCTCCCAGTAAAAGTGGTTAGCTTTAGAGAATAAGACTTTTTTTTGCTATAACAACATAGTTATGGATTATTTTCCTGTTTTTCATAGAAGAAGAAGATCTTTTTGAAAAAAATACATTATTTATGATCCTGACAAAATTCAGTTTGTTGCTGAATCCACGGGCTTGACGATGAGTTTCACATTATTTTGGGGAACAGAGTGATCCCTGTATCTTCAAGGGGAAGGGGGTAATTCTGTTAAATACATACAAATCAGAAACCAGCACTTTTTATGCTGCTTAGTGCACGTTGCACGGGTAACTCGCTCTCCTGTTTGGGCATCATGAATGCTCTTCTCTTTTCTTTCTTTTTTTTTGCCAACATCAAACCACATTTTACGTTTACCACTACAGCTAAGGTACATGGAAAAGACTCAGGGTGCATGCCTTATTATCAAATGATAAATAATGAACACTAAACAGCTGACTAGAGAAAACCATTCATCAGCAAAGGAGGGAAAATGTTTTATACACTTTAAATCCTTGAAGGTGTTGTTTAATGCCTAAACACTTAGTGAGCCAGCCAATAAATACATATGTGTAATTCAGAAGCATTATTCCCGTACACCAAACCAATAAACAAACCAAATATTACTTTGCAACAATGAATTTAGCCCCAGTTGTATTGAAAACGCAACTGGATTGAAACAATCTGCACATCAGCAGGTTGTTGGTGTAAAATGACCAGTAAACCAGATGGGTGAGCTGTGAGGGCTTTCCACGAGCTCGATATAACTTGAACGCGCCTGGGTGACATTTACTGGGGAGCGTGAGCGTGGACAGGGACAGGGACAGGAAGGACAGAGAGGGACAGGGAGGACAGAGAAGACGGGGAGGGACAGAGGGCGCTCCGGCAGAATCCAGCGAGATGCGCACCAGCTCGGTGAATCCTGTAGCTCTGAACTGAAGGAGACCATGGAAGGGCACCGGCTCCCCACGAGACAGAAGGTAAGGTATGGTTCGTTTAAGCCTGTACTTAGTGACGCTCTCACATTAGGACCTTTTGGTTTTCGGCTTTCACTTAACTGATATTGGGCACTGCTAGCTACTAACTAGCTAGCTTTACAACTGGGGTTAGCCAACTTCAGAGCAACATTTACAACATTTTATGGTATATCGACAATTAAAGGTGTCTGCTTTTATTTGCTGACCTATAGCGAGGGTTGAATTATCGGTTCATATGGAAGACTGAAGGATGCTTTCTGTCATAGGACAGTAATTGCTACCACTTAGTGGTTAGCATTGCTAACTGGCTGGCATGTGAGGGGCAAACCGACACGGGATTAAAATAAGAATTTACATAGATAAAGTTCGCTGTAACTAATTAACTCATATGTTGGATTAATAAAGGATCAATGTTTTTACAAGACATTTACCTTCCAATGGCAAGTAGTCGTTTTAGCTAGACATTTAGGAGGTGGTTGCACGTGCTCGTGTAGCTTGACAGTAAATTGTTCTCGGAGCCAAAAGGATCCTGAATGAACTGGTTCGACTCACTTTTCTTTGACTCGAGAGTCTGCAAACATTTTCTGCTGTAAGTGTTTCTCTTTGGTGGTTTAACATCAGGCTAAAAGCCCTAAAACTTTGGCGTGTCTGTTAGCTCCATGTGGGTGAGCAGCTGGAGCCTGTAACTCACTGTGGATTTGGAGCGGATTATTATTTCATGTGCTCACATGCTTAACGCAAAATACGTGCCAATCTGTAGTAAATATGGAAATGCCTCAGCTAAAGGTAACCCCTAGACTCTGGCACATAAAAAAATAGCACCATTTGCTTTACAGGTTGAATGCATTTAATATGAATTGTCATTTAAAAATAATTATTTTAGTCGACATTTCTAAAACTGGGAATCAGAGGGTTTAAACTGTTACTCATTAAGAGGGTTGGCATTTAGAATTGTCTGTTATTTATCTGAACAAAAAGACCAGTAAAACAAATTTTGGTCCTCCTTGAGGTTTAAAAGAAGAAAGTTGTCACTAATTAAAACTGTCAGGACTTTAATTCCAGCTGAGATTGCCTTCACCCATAGGGAACCCAGCCCCATTTATCCTCAAAGGAAAATTATAGGGAATAGAAAAGAGAACAAATGGGGCCCTTTTTGCGTTTAAAAAAAGAATATCTTAAGATATCACCATTAAATGTCAAAGATCAGTGTTGTTCCACAATTTACACAGTACTTTTTTAAACTGAATTTCTCTTAGTTTTAATAGTTTTTTACAACTTTGTCACTGAAAAAGGGAAAACTAAAGTCGAGCAGATCTGATGAGCTAGTCCAGTTTACATAAACTTGTACACTTTTCAGTCAGATTAACATGTCGCCTGCATTTCAGAGGTGACAGAATAATTATTGATTGGTTGCCATGTACAGAGTGATGTAAACATCCCCACTGACCGAACACATGAGGTATGGACAATGAAAGCTCCCCGAGGGCAGAGCTCATTCGTCAGTATGGTCGGCTTTTATTGTTACCCAGCAGGGGGGTGGGGAGCTTTCTGGCACATTTGCAACAAATGATAACACAAATGGAACTTTTTCTGCTTTCTCTGTTTAGGCCCGAGGTAGCAGATGAGTGTTTTTAGGACGCTGTGTTCAGTGTTGGCCTCCTGTTCTGATGATTTAAACGGTTTGCAGGTGAGTTTTTGCCTTTTTAATGTTTACATATGGCTCCGCACAGTTTTAGTTATGCAGATTGTGTCAGTGCTGTGTGATTTCACAGTGATGGTAACTCTGTTTGCGATGTTCACAATGGTGGTAGTCTGTGTTTTTGTCTGTTTGGAGCGTATGATGTACAGACGGCCTGTGCTGAGGGTGGCTGGTACAGAGGGACGGGAGACATAGCAGCTTCCATTCAATTGTCTTCTTTGTCATTCTCTTGGTTAACAAGTGCCCTTTGTACTAACATGGGGATCTAACATCAAGACTGAAACATGTTCTGTGCTTTTTTTCTTTTTGCATCTTTAATTTGTTGTGTCTGCTATTCTTCATCCGCAACATTTTTTTTAGCAGGTATGAACTTGGTTGCTCAGCTCGTATAGTGTGGGGATCTTGTATGGTGCACTATGCTGACTTGAGTTGGTTTCCTACCTCGTGCAGTGCTCCAGTTGCTCTGGTTTCTGACCCCGTTTAGCGCGTTTCACCATCCTGCACTGAGGAATAGTAAATATGACAGTGGCCAATGCAAAGTCTGGCTCAGGTAAGCCATCAAAAACAAAGTCCCAAAATAGTTTCAGATAGTTTAGCAAAATCCTGTATGTGCTGTTGATTTTTCACAGAAACCGTTGAGTTGCTCTGTCTGTTTTGACATTTAGCTGACGTTGCGCAGGATAGCTGTGTGACTGTGTTTGCTGCCTGTGAGCTGTCACTTTGCCCTCATGTGTAAATAATGATCACAAATCTGCGTAATTCAGACCGACAAAACTGCCCACTTTCTTTTGCTTTAATGGTGAAGACGCTAATTTAATTGCTTCATTTTGTTGGCTGATTAATCAAACCACTTGCTGTATTTGTGCAATAGCAGGTAGTAGTTATATGGCTTCATTTTCTGTCTGTTTGCCACTAGACAAATCTTGTTAAACATTTTCCTCTGTGACCCTTTGTGCTTGTTGCTTACAATGCAAATGAGGGACATTCTCTGTGAATCGGCCCATTGATTCTCTGTCTGCTTGTTGTTCTTAATTTACAAATCTTAACATCGTAATCAGCTATGAGTTTTAATTCTATTTATAGCAAGCTCGTGTTTTTTGTCTCCAGCCATGCAGCAGGTACTGGACAACCTTAAAGACTTGCCATCAGGCACAGGAGCTAAAGATATTGACCTCATCTTCCTCAGAGGCATCATGGAGAGCCGCATTGTCCGCTCCCTTGCAAAGGTAAAGCGTGATTTTACTGATGCCTCTCTTGAGTATTTGTGGGCAAAAATGTCTGATTCTTAATCGTATATTTAGATTTCATCCACTTAAGGCAGCCAGGTAGCCAAGCCTAATATGTGGGTTTATCAGAAAAAAAAAGTAAATTATAAGAGTAGATTACAAGCATGCGTAATCACTCTTAAGTTACATTATAGGATGTGGATTTGTCCCCACTTGTTCACCATTTTCAGCCATTTCGCAGTAGGTATGGCAGACCTCTTTTTTTTCTAAAATAATTCAAAGTAGCCCAAGTTTGTGCTGAAGCTTACACAGTTTGAATACCCTTTTAACACCCATACAAAGAGTTAGGGGCACAACTAAAAGACTGATGGTTATGTAATTATCCTGGGGAAAAAAGTCTCCTGTTGATATTGAGGTTGCCAGGTCCAACCACCATTTCTATGAATAAAATGTTTTCATAGAAAAGGTGTCACAAAGGCATGCTGCTGGCCTCATTTCAGAAACAGTGATCACAAGAAAAGGGAAATGATGCTTAAATGTGAAGCAGTTAGGACCAACCAAGTTCAGTTGTGTCAAAGAAACCTTTGCTGTTGCTTTTGTACAAATGGGTTTGTTGCTCTACCAGAGCTGAGCCAGGGATTGCCTTGTGTGTTGAGTAGCTGGTGGAGAAATACACCGTGCTACCCAAACAAGAAAAGGAAGACTCCCAAAAAGAAATGGGCCTGTCTCTGAAAGGCCCTCTGTAGGCGTTTAAATCAGTTCTTCTTCTGAACGTTGTGTAATCAGTTCAATAAATCACTCCTTTCATCTTCTACTTTGTGATTAGGCCCACGAGCGCCTCGAGGAAGTTCAGTTACAAGCTGTGCAGGACAATAACATTGAGCTGGTAGCTGAGATCTTGGATTCCCTCGACAAGCTGCCAGAAAAAGATGCTGCTTCTGCTGAACTTGGCAGAATCCTTCAGGAGCCTCACTTTAAGGTATCTAAGAGCCTTTTTCTTCCCTCAGTCGTGGATGTCAGAGCTTTTCGTGCCGACTGTTAGTGAATTTTCCCCCCCGTGCCTGAAATGCCGATCAGTTTCCTTGTCACTTTGAATGTTCTTGACCGCTCGTGCTTAAGCGGCATCAGAGGGTGGAGCTCTCTTTCCTCAAGCCAGTGGCAGGCTGAGTTACGTGGGTAATGTGACGGGGAGTAGGCTGTCGCCCACCGTGTCAGGGAATCTTTATGTATGCTGATGCAGTTTGTCTGCATTCTCGCTGCACTGCTTGCTTTATTTTCCTGCTGCCAGGGTAAGAATAAAACCGCTTTGTGTTCCCCTTTTGTCAGTTGTTGCTCGATGCTGTCGCTTTGAAACCAGTACACCAAAGCCATTTGGATGCGTTTGGTATTGTCTTTGACATTTTGGCGGATGGAACCAAATTGTTTTCTCTCTGAATGAGAAAAAAAATCTGTTGGAAATGGGGAGTTTTAGATCTGAGCTGGACCATTTTGTCTTTACTTCTCTCTCTTTCAGTCGTTGATCGAGGCTCATGACAAAGTGGCGGCAAAGTGCTACGAAATGCCCCACACTCCTGTTAATAGCAATTCCATGTTGCCGAGTTCACTCATGCCTGCTGATGCCGTGAGGATGATTGGCATCCAGAAGAAAGCTGGGGAACCACTGGTGAGTCTGCCAGGCATTTAAATGACCAGCTTTAATGCTCTTAGTCGCTGCAAAATGCTTAACATATTTTGTATTTCACTGACCATCTGGTTGGAAGACGTGACTCGGGTTTGTATATTAACTTAGCTGGAACAGACTGTGACTCAGGCCTCGCCTGCTGTGATTCATGAACTGTGGATTTGGGGGTACTGACAGACACTCACTCTATTTCAGGGTGTCACGTTCCGTGTGGTGCAGGGAGAGATGGTGATCACTCGGATCCTGCATGGCAGCTCCATTGACAGGCAGGGGATGCTGCACACGGGGGACATCATCTGCGAGGTGAACGGCCGCGAGGTCGGTAGCAACCCCCATGAGCTCCAGGAACTGCTGAGAGCCTGCAGTGGAAGCGTCACACTCAAAGTCCTGCCGAGCTACAAAGACACACCGGCACCACCACAGGTGTGTAGAAAGGAGGCTGCACTTTCCACTTTCAAATCAGGCCGAATGAACAGTTTTAATGCTGCACCAGTTAGGTTTTTTTCTTTGTGTGAAAGGGATGGCCGTGGCACAAAGGAATTTTTACTCTGACATTATGGATACACTGGATTTGCGTCGAGCCAGTTTGGGATTGGTTGCGGGCTGCCTGACATGACTGATCACTGAATGCGAGGCTTTTGAAAACTGAGCCCAGGAGGATCTATTAATAACACTCCACACTTTAACTAGGACACACACCACACTGTTCACTGGAGCACGCCCCTCTGGCCCTTACTGTAACAGGCACGCACGGCAGCTGACACCAGCGAGTAGTATGTAAGGTTATGTCAGACACCAGCTCTAATGCCAGGAACAACCAAATGATCGCTCTGTTCTACAGTTTTACTCTGTGCTCGTTGATTTTTTCTGTGAAAATCTTCAGTGGTGCCTGTTCTGATCTCTTGGTTTTTTAAATCGCTCCGGGTTCATCTCATTGGGGCTCAATTTTCTGAGAGGATTTCTGATTCAGCCTTCAAAGACTGTAGACACTTGATGTCATTTTTAATGAGCTGCCTCGCAAAGACATCAATATTAGTGACAAATTTGTTGTAAGGTTATGATTCTTCCTGGCATTTTGTAGTTTTATAATTTCCTGGAAATTTCAGACTAGCATTGAGTCTATTTAGACATTTTTAGCTCAACAGGGTTATGGCTTCTGTTTCTACCTGACAATTGCAGTTGAAAGTAACATTTTGCTTTCCAATTCATGACTGCTTTAAGGAAAATATATGACCTGAGAAAACTGTCAAGTCAGGCTCGAGCAGCAGCCGCTAGAACTTAAGCAGGGCCAGTAAAACCCAGAGGTGAAACCAGAGGCTTCAGCATTATTAAGGGCTCATAAATCTCCCTAGAGGAGATAGCACAACCCACTTTGCACTTTTTGATTTTTCTAACAAAAAGTTTTCAAAAGAAAATTGCATTGTGTGTTTTTAATTGTGCGCTGTGTTGTTCTGATCTTACACTGAAGGTTTATCTGAAGCCACACTTCAACTATAACCCAGCTACAGACAACCTGATTCCCTGTAAGGAGGCAGGCCTGGCCTTCTCCAAAGGGGACATTCTTCATGTAGTCAACAAGGAGGACCCCAACTGGTGGCAGGTGAAATGACATGCGCTGGACATGTGGAGTTTGAAACATAAAGAAACAAATCTATATGTGAAATCGTTAATCCAGTGATCTGGTTTCCATTAAGGCATGCAAAGTTGTTGGTGGAGCTACTGGCCTCATCCCGAGTCAGTTTCTGGAGGAGAAGAGGAAAGCTTTTGTGAGAAGAGACTGGGACGCTGTTGGCTCAGGTCAGTCCAGAATCCCCCCCCTTATCTTGTCCTACTTTTTATTTTTGGTAAGCTTTCAAAGCACAGAGAAATCTCTGTCTTATGGAACCACCTGTGGTGTTTTAACACCTTTTCTGCTGTGTGTGTGTTTTAGGGAAGCTTTGTGGCACCATAACTGCAAAGAAGAAAAAGAAAAAAATGATGTACCTCACTTCTAAAAACGCAGGTATGCACAGAATGGTTTAAACGTCCTGCCTCTTCAGAAATATGTCTTTTGTTTTAAGTGGATCAGGGCCAATGCAGCTCTCATTTAGCATGTGTGCTGCCTTGAACAGAGTTTGACCGTTATGAGCTGCAGATCTATGAAGAAGTAGCCAGGATGCCACCTTTCCAGAGGAAAACACTGGTTCTGATTGGAGCTCAGGGTGTTGGGAGGCGGAGCCTGAAGAACAGGCTAATTGTCATGAACCCTCTGAGATATGGAACCACTGTCCCCTGTGAGTGTTTGAGACGGACAGCCGAGATCATTACATCGTCTGCCCTTGGTTTCTTGCCAGGTAACGCTTCACGCATCATTTTTTATTTTTTTTAGTTACATCACGCAGTCCCAGAGAAGAAGAGAAAGATGGTCAGAATTACTGCTTTGTGACGCGAGAAGCAATGGAAAAAGACATCAAGGAGAGCCGGTATCTGGAGCACGGCGAGTATGATGGGAATCTTTACGGAACCAAGATCGACTCAATCCACGAAGTGGTCGAAATGGGGCGGACATGCATCCTGGATGTCAACCCTCAGGTCAGTGGAAAGCGCAGACTTTGTATGCATGCAAAGAGCTGTGTTTTCCCCAAAGCTTCTAGAGGTGACATTTTACTCCATACGCAGGCCCTGAAAGTGCTGAAAACTGCAGAGTTTATGCCGTTTGTGGTGTTTATTGCTGCTCCTGAGCTGGACACACTAAGAGACATGCACAAAGCTGTGGTTGATGCCGGCCTTACCACCAAACTGCTCACAGTAAGATCACCTACATTACTTGTTCACAGCAATAAGAAGAGTTTCAGTGGCGTTTATGTCAGCTGATCGTCTTTCCTGTGACAGGAGAACGATTTAAAGAAGACGGTGGACGAAAGTGCCAGGATCCGACGGGCGTACAGCCACTACTTTGACCTGACAATTGTCAATGACAATCTGGACAAGGCCTTTGACAAGCTGCAGGACACTGTAGAGCGGTTATTTGTGGAGCCGCAGTGGGTGCCAGTCAGCTGGGTCTACTGACGTTTGACCCCCTGACTGGACAGACGCTGCCGCCTGAACCGCCAGGCCCGGGATGAAAGGTTTTTATTTTCCAACACTGTGCTGCATACACAGGTACCGTGTGGGGCGTCGGCCCTGTGTGTTCTGGGTCTCAAACAAAACTGCATCAGAGTCACCTTAATCTGATCCCCAGATGTCTTCCTAGCACACTATGCAACTTGCAACACACAGGAAGTGTACTTATTTATTGGCAAATAATTTTTTTAGGTTATATTTCCAATTTAAATGGTTGTGGGGGGGGGCTCTGGTTTTTAAAGTGAAATATTCTTTGCCATGTCCACTTTTAATTCACATCTATACGATGGACAAATTGTATTTATTATGCAAAAATTAGAAAAATAAGAAAAAAAGGAGGGCTCGCTCATTTAAAAGGATACCTCAGAGTTCAACGTTTACAGAGCATCTACATCCAGTACTTCATCTCACATTGCCACTTCAAGCTTGCTGTCAGTTACACAGCGGCCATATGTCTGAGACTTTATTCCGCTCCATGTTTTCAACTCGACCTGAGTGGGAAAGGTCCGGCCGTACGCTGTGTAATGTTGCAGTGGAAGCAAAGCAATACCGTAGTATTAACCCAGTTTTACTGTCATCCACAAAAAACAAGATTAGGATTATTAAAACAACTTTTTGTCAAACATTAAAGCATGTGTTTGACCTGTTAGACCAGTGGAGTCAGTGCTGTGTTTGTGATAGAAAAACTTTTTCCACAGGACTCTTGGAACAGGGTACCTAATCTCAGAGAACCATCCCTTTTGATGTGATATTACTAAAATATAACGGCTTTAAATAAAGTTCATATTTACTTAGAAAGGTATATTTTACAGGATTTCAGATGAGGTGTATTTTCCAATGACAAATAAATAACTGGTGTTTTTTAATGACCCGCTCTGATGTAGCCCTTTTCCTTCTGCAGAGTTTGCAAACACTAGTAGACTAAGGCGGTTTATTTAGTTCTCCTGCTCCGTATTGGTTTGGCACCATGGGATTAGTTGAACAGAGGTTGACCTCAGCACCAGCTCTCAACATGTTTGTAGTTCACATTCAGCAAAGCTTTCATTTGTAATATCACAAACAGGAGGGAAAGATCTTACTGAAGGAAATCGTTTGACTTTGTGGGAAAGATTTTGAATGTCATAATTCAATTTAAAAACATTTTAACAGCAAAACATTTTTACATTAGAACACTCATGACTCAGAAATGAGGCAGATTCATCCTAAATGAGACTTTTTAGCAATTTTCTCCATCCGTTTGTGCAGGGTGATAGTCAAACAACAGGTTGGTTACATTCAACATTAGAAATTGGTTCAGAATATTTTTTCCAATTGGCTAGCTATGTAACTCTAATCGGAGTGAGAGATGTGTGGCAATATTAATGTGATCGGGAGACTTTAAAGGCAGTGAGCCACAGATGCCAGACTCCTCAGGGCCACACACAGGACCAGGAGGCCAGTTCCGGTCCCGGCCTTTGCTTCTGTACAGACCAGCTCCCCGTCTTTCTTCAGGGAGACGTTGCACGATGCGAACAGATCTCTAGTTGTTTCACCAATGTCTTCTGCCAGAGCTGCCTTTTCTGATATACATTCCACCTGGAAGGGATGTGACAAAGGTTCAGTGGTAAATGAATGAAATTGGCCACATGATGAATGTTTTGGTATTGATTTTGGAAAGGCAGCCTTCACTAACCAGTTGCTCCAGGGTCTGTAATGCTGCAGGGCTGCTGCATATTCGCAACATGGCAAGAGCATCATTTGTCATCTCTGAAAGACAGAGAGCCATTTCCAGCATGAAAAAGGCCTCAGGAAATGAGTTTTTTAAGGACAATTTGCCTGCAGAAGGAACTGCAGAAGAAACTACATACATTTCTCAAAATCATCTCAAAGATGGGAGTTGGAGCAACAAAAGGCTGCACAAAGTCCACTTTTTCTCACCTTTCAAAGCACTGACAATGAGATGAAAGGCCAGGAGGACGGATTTGGACTGGTTTGCCTGAGCTGACCCCGTCTGACCGGACTGCTCCAGAAGGGTAAGAACTGCTTGGATGTTTTGTTGTTGGGAATGGGTCAGTCCAGCGTTTTCCAGGCCAGGTTCCTTATCCAAATACATGTCGTCCAGCTGACAGAGAGAGGCATTTTTAGTTCAGTGTGGTTTTGTTTGACCTGGACCTCAGTGTTGCACATACAGCGTCCTGAAGAGCACTGATGGCTGCTTGGTCCTCCATTAAGGCTGTGATTAGTCGGAGCAGAGAGGACCTGATGGATGCAGGCAGAGATGAAAGCAGCTGGAAATGATCCTTCAGGTGAGCCAGCTCTGAGGTCCGGGGGGGGGGGGACGACAACATATGAATAAATGAATTAACTCGGAAAACACTGGGCGTCAAACCTCAAATATACAGAACAGCATGACCCCACAAATAAATGAAGCATGAGCTATTTATCAACATTTATCAACAGAAGGAAAACAAAGGGGTAAAATACAACAATTGTTAAAAGAAACCCTCAGCATTTGTTCAGTGCATAAGTGTGGTTAATCTTTCTACAGGCCTAATGGAAACGCAGAATGAATGCACAATGCCTGTTTGGCAGCATGGAAAATAAACGTTTTCATGCTTCAAAAGGCATCTTCTGATGAATGTGTTTATGAACGGTAATCTTCCCATTCCAGTCTGATAACGCATGGCTGGGCAACATACCTCCGGAGGCCCTCTGTGACATGTAACAACCACCTTCAGTCGGGTGTTTTTCATGTAAAAAAAACAAAACAGTCATTTACCTCGTTGAAGGAAGTCATTCTCGGAAGGATTCACAGCTCCTGAGACACCCACCGGTCCTTTACTGGCAGGGCCGTCTACTTCAAAACCGCCATGGGTGTCCAACATGAGACACAGCTCTGGAATATGTTTTTGTTTTTAAATGAGCAAAAACTAGAGAAGTTTATAAATGAATATGGGATACATTTAAAGAGGGATTTCTTACCAAAGTGCCCATCCTGTTTGACCTCTAGCTCTATGAGGCCATAAGCTATCGTTGTGTGGGGAGGAATCTCCATGGTTATGTTACTGTCTTTACTCAAGCTCCCATTTTCCTTCAGAGAAAACTGGGGAAACAGGTGGAGGTGAGTCACACAAAGTCCAACAAAAATCATGTTGAGAAAAAAGATTGAGGGAAAAATGTCATAACGAAGCGGTCTGAAACTAAGAGGGGCGGTAAACGCATTGAGGAACCCACAATGTGTCCTGACCTCATATCTTATTTTGATAGCATTCACGAGGCTGCAATGTAGACATTTAAGATAATAAAAAAAAGTTATTCAGCTCTTTAATACGGACTGGAAAAGTTCACATCAGTGACTTGTGGAACCGGGAACCAAAATAAGAGAGGAAGCAGAAACCTTTTTTTCAACATTTATGTTAGCAGAAGTGGCACAGATGCCAATAGTTCTGAGGGCGAAAATCCATTATTCTGCTTTTTCAAATTGGTCTGTTCACAGCTAAAGGCAGAACTGAGAAAACGTCTGGGAAAATCTGTTGTATGGCAGACACAACAAGATCTAGTTGGGACTTCCATACAGCAGATTTCCCTTCCAAGGAAAATGAACTGAAAGTTTCATGGTGTGAATTAACTCTGGCACTTAAATGTATAAATATTCCACAAATGAATACTTGCAAACCTTTTGGATCTTGGGGCTGCAGGAGCTCAGACTCAGTCCGCACTGGCCGCCCTGCTGCACCTCCTCTATTACCGAACATGGCTGAGTGGTTAAAATCCGCTCCTTCACGATCCCAAACACCTGTCTGTGCTTCTCCTTTGTCTGCTGGATGAGACAATGGGACATGTCCAGAACCCTGAAACAGTAAATTCACAGCATGAATAATGTTAGAACACTGAATTACATCAATTGTGCTTTTAATTTATTATTTCTTGTACTAATCTGTACTTAGGAAATCGCACAAAACCAAAATTGAATTATTTTCCCATTCAAATGACACCATTATTCATGGTGTTAATGTTCTACAGGCCTCCCGTTTTGCGTGAAACTTTACGGTTGGACAAAGATCACGTCTGTGGTTTACAGATCTTTAACAGAGAACATTTCAGGCGATGTTTCTGGTCCATTACCAGTTAACAATTCTTAAGTTATTAGACCCTGTCAAGGATTCAAGCTGGAAGCAAACCTGTCTTTGGAATCTTGCAGCAATTTCTGCACTTCAACTTCTTCTTTCTTCAAACTGCCAAAGGACGACTGGAGTTTGGAGGAGTCTTTACCCTCCAAGTTGACACTGGTGTTGACGAAACTGGCGTCCACGGTTCCCTTAATGTTGTCACCAAATGTCCCACTGTATTTGATAAAGTCTGTCTCCATCACAACTGCAGAAAATAACAGCATTCAGGCATTCTGCAGATATTTCTCTGCATTTGGGGCAATCATTAGAACAGATAAGATCTTTTTCTCACCTGGGTTTAAAGGCGTGTCCCCACTGAGTATGTCATTTAGATTAAAGTCAGTTGGAAGATACGTTGGCTTCTGCCAGAACCAGAAACGTTTGCGCTTCACCACCACCGTCAGCACAGCGATAACATCATTCAGGCTGGACACTGGGACCAGTAGACCTCCTGTGTCCACCTCCTCCACAAAGTTTTTGGTGGCTATGGCAAACATCGCCCAGCTGCATTAAAAACAGAAGAAATTAACTTTAAAGTAAAGCCAGGTTGACAGAAGACTTTGTTTACGCGGAAGTGCCCCGATCACGTGGGCTCTCGGGCAAAATCTAAGGCAGAGTTAATTCCTGAGGAAATATATAGAGCTCTATTTACATCCTTTGGTTGTTTAAACAGTTAACCACTTTTGCCACAGCGCAAGTCTTGATCGAATAAAAGGGCAAACTAGCTAGAGGCGTCAACAAACGCACGAGTCTTTGTGAAAAACGCAAAACAGTGAAGATATAACTTACTGTAATATCCCGCCGCCTCCTGAAGGGCTTCAGTGGTTAAGCACAGAAGAAACTCTGACTGAGGACTCTGACGGTTGGGCGAAGCGTAGGCGTTGTACAGTTCATAATACTGTCTCTGTTTTGGACAAAAGACTCGTCTCGTGCAGCCCCGCCTCCTCTGTCGGGGGCGCGCGCTGCAGGGCGTACAGATGTACCAGATGTACCAGATGTACCTGATGTACCAGATGTTGCTTTTCTGGACACAGCAATACCTCTGTGGACTCTTTAGACTCTTCTGGTCGACGACGAAGTTGTTTTAATCTCTGCCCAAATTCCGTCCTGTAAATTATTATATACTTATATTTCATTTAGTTTCTGGGTCAAATATTGAAGATAACTTCATATTCTTTTTCTTTGTCGCCCCCTGGTGGCCTTTGGATCTGCCGGGAATTACAAACGTCTATCTTTTCAGTCAGGAGGTTATTACTTGAGTATTTTTTTTTTTACGTTAATGCCATTTTATACTTTGGCACTTAGATTTTCTTTTACATGTTAAACCCTTCAAAATGTAGGCTACTTATAATCTATTATTTTATACTCTTTAATACACATATACTAAACGGTAGTTTTGCACAAACTTCTAACTTGAATCACAGTATTTAAGACAAACTAAGTATTTTTGTATTTAAACAAATGATAAACCCATTTATATAATGATTAAAAAGTATCTAATTAACTGAATTAGACAATGTTTCTTTTTTTAAATGTTCCACAATTTCACATTTCTAAACTGGTGCCCAGGAAATGAACACCATAATAAACTGTTTCCACCTTGCAATATCATATTCTCTTCTTCTCTGCTTTATAAACTGGATTCAGTGACATTTTTACCCTTTCTGATAACCTTTACCTGTTTTTAAGGCTTTATAATTGCTTAGTTGTCCTTGAACTCTTTGGCAAAGGCTGACGGCATCAGGATAAAAGTCATAAATGCACAAAAAAATCCCTGGAAAAAAAGAAAAGTCATCACCCGTGTGAGTAAAATGCAGATCTATCTGTGACCATTTTCATGAAATTCTAAAGCAACTTAAGTGGCAAAAACTATCTACAGTTTGTGAAGAAGTCAACGATAAGCTGTAAGCTATTTACTGACACATATGCTGATGCTGCTTTGAGTGTGAATGATGTAACTTATGAGTTGACCTTTCACCCTAAACAAAACAAACCTGTGAATGTACAGGGTTAAAGATACTTGCCTTGAAGAGAGGCGTAACTATACTGCATACTCTTATGTAACAGGCAGTCACCCTCTTTAAAATCAATTCACGTCTTACTTGACAAAAAGAAAGAATCAGAGTTTATTTGATCTCATGGAGCATAGTTTTGGACACTTTCAGTCCCAAAGCCAAGTGTTCAGAAGGTGCAATGGATAAAGTGGTAGAAAAAAAGAACAAAACCAAAACAAACCTGGACAAAATAGTTGCTACGGCTACTTACATAGTTCACAATCATTTACACGATGAAAAGCAGGAGTTACTGTTGTGAGGTTAAAAGATAAGCTGTGCACAGTGGAGATATAAAGAGCGTTTAAATGGTTCTTGCTTATCTTTACAAAACATAGACATTTAGGCAATGCGACAAAAATAAATAAAACATTGTGAGCACGACTAGTAAGGCATAAGGCGATGCAGAATAAATATTGAACGCGTACACTCGGTTAATGGCATATCAATGCTATTCTATCTCTTGAGGTAGAGAATGTCCATGATAAGACAGCGGTGTAAGGGGCCAGTTGTTGAGTTTATTTCAAACCAGTGTGGGTTATCTACCATCTTTTACAACAGCTCATTTTTAACATATTTTCTGAGTTCATCATAGTGGGTGTGGAAATGTGAGCACACATTGCTAAAACCGATCAACATTCTGAACACATGCCTGCATAAACATGTTTACACAACAGAAGCACTTTTCTTATTAAGGCAACAACTTTAATGGACTGCAATAGAGAGGATTAGTGCTAAAAGTGGGCAGCTGAACCGGGGTGCCGACATCATCAGAACCAGCTTGGATCACCGTTGAAATGTGTGCGATTGGTCACCACAGTGCTGGAAAATCCATATGGACAAAACCAGGCTCCCTCCTCAGTTCCCAGTATGTGTTGTTGCTCACCCAGGTGTCATCCTTTGACTTCCTGTAGAGGTAACGTAACATATACAGTCAAATATATGAGTGAGTAAGCAGCGATGGGAAAAGGTTTCCTCAGAATTGTTCTGTGTTCCTCCCAATGCTTATTTTTCCTCTATGCTGATTGACTCTCAGGCTTTGTGGCAGGAAATCAATACCACAAAATGGTGCAGCCATCACTATGTTTGGCTGTAGGGGAACTGTTGGCGGACAGTTCAATCTTTGTGTCATGCGGCCATGATGCATCTTAGGTTCTGAAATGTGCCCTTTGGCATGTTTCCAGAGACGGTTGTGTCTCTTTGTGTCTTTTATAAAGGAATGGCTCCCGTGTGCTCTCGATGTTAAAGTCCTGACTGATGGAGTACAGCACTGACTGATGGAGTACAGCACTAATGGCTGTATTTGTGTCAGCTTCTTAAATCTCTACAAAGTAAAGCTTAGTCATTCTAGCACTCATGCTATATGTTTGTGTTTCTTTTTTCTTTTTTCTTTGTGCATCACTTTCATATGTTGTCAAATTGTGCCTCCTCTTTTCTTGCACCTAATTGAGTTATGGAACAAACTATGATTTCATATGGAAATAACTAATCTGGGAGATTTTTACATCCGTTGTAAAATACAGCAACAAAACTTGTCATTCACATGAATTGACAAATTGACTGATTTTGCTTTGTCATTGTAAAGAGCTTTGTGTTAAATGGAGATGTAAAAAAAAAAAAACAGTTTATTTTGAGCTGATCCTGAACCTAAGGTTGGAAAGTGTGTGAAGGCACTTTGCATGCACTGACAATCAAGACATTCCCACAACCTGAAGAATTTGGGCTGATGTGAAGCATTGTTCTCCTCCAGAGTTCTGCGTCTGTCTCTCTGCAGCTGTTCAATCCTCTGCTTCTCCTCCTCTGCTGCCTCCATGTTCCCCTCCTCTAGGAGTCTGCCAGCACAGCACAGACACATTTATTATGCAAACATGGTTAAACATTTATGTTTAACATTTATATTTAATCTCCACTCATGTTTTTTTTGTTGGAAGTTATCACTGTGTGATTATCTCATTTTAAAAAAATAGGAAACATAAAAGTGTTCGTACAAAAGACTTACACCCAAACCAATGCCTTTTCTCATTTTGATGGCTAAGTTGCCCCTTTTTTCTGGGCTGTCAGTAATCAGTAGTGATACATTTTCAGACTTTAAAGTCTTCAGCTAGAACTCTGAGCTAAGAATAGTTTGATGGAACTATTTTTTACCCGTTTACTATTTTTGGGCCTTCTTTAGTGTCGTGTGCTGATCATAAACACTGTGAAATGGATTTGAAATTCCCAACATTAAATCATCAAAGGTATGCTTACTGTCAACATGCATTAAGTCTCTGACAATCCCCCCCCCCCCCCAAAATGTATTTTAGCCAGCATTTTACATCCGTTAAATAACTGCACTTTGCAGATAAGGACAGAATAAAAAAAATCAAATCCACTGAACATTTTTCCAGGAAGACAACCCATTCGGCTTAAGTGCATAAAAAAGATCAAAAAGATCCAATCATTCCATCACCTTTGGTCCACTCGTAGTCGGGTGTCAGTAGGTGGTAGCAGCAGTTTCAAAGATGAGTCCAGCTCATTCAGCTCGATTGCGAACTTTGTAAAACCGTAGTACTGTTCATAGCCTACTGGCATTGCATCTAAACACAAATAAATAACATCGGGTCAGACATGCCATCCTCGACCTGATTGCGCTCCCTTCTGAAAAAGACTTACTTGCTCTCCAGATGCATTTGGCTGATGGAGGGTCTCCACAGAAAACTGACTCATGCCACTTTCCAAAAAGTTTGTGGATGACCTTTCCTTTATTATCTGTAATAGTCCCCTCCACCTCATTGACACTTGAATTCCAGTATTTGGCCTGTGAACACACAACAAACGTGCGTCATGCTCGGCAAGAATGGATGACACTGCACAGACCTTGATAATGTTCCCTTGCAGTCAGCAGATGTTGCTGTTGCGTAAACAGCCCCGTTCCGCCGTTTGTGTGTGTTGCAGAGTTGATGAGAGATGAGAATACATAATGATTTGCGACATGTCTTGACTTGCTATCCTGCACAGCTTCAGGACGCCTTATAAGCAGCACACAGTAAACCAATTAACCTCTTCGTCTCAACCCCCATCTGAGAGGCACTTTTGGTTCACGTTTTGTGTGTTTGACGTGGGTCTCACAGCAGTGCACCTCCTCAGAATTTAATTTATTTTTTAAACAAAAAAAATACTACCCATGTTTGGTAACAGTTTATTACAGAAAAGTAAGGAAATTTACTTTCTTAGAAATAATAAGCAAACTTACATATTGGGACCCAGCCACTCTAAGACCACTGAGAACTGTAGGCGTTTGACTGGTGAATATTCTAAATCCACTCTATGACGCTTAGCCATACAGTGAGCAAGACCTGACAATGCGTTAGATTTCCATCTATAAAATGCAACAAAAAAAAAAGAAATGTCTAAAGAACTTCAGATGGATGTCATTATGGTTGGAGTTTGCCAGCTGTCACAGTATGATCCTACCATTACCTACAAAGCTGTTTTAATACGGGAATGTAGTGGATTGTTGCTGGATGTGAAAATGATTGATAGAACCTTTTCACTCTATACATTTTTTATCGTGTTGTTTTCCTCACCTTGACAAAAGTGATCCTGCAGTGACAGATGTCGCTGCTGGAGTTCTTGATGGAGATCTCCCCGTAGTGCTCTATCCAGCGCTGCCCGCTGAGGATGTTGTGGATGCATGATGTCACCTTGTTCCATTCGTAGTGGTCCCCACATCTGGGGTTGTGAATGCAAACAGAAGTTCCATTTGTCATTAAATCAGAAACAATGCAGTAAGACATCGAAATCAGAAAAAAACTATCTTCCTTATTTAACTAAACATACTTATACAATTAGCTGCAACTAACATAACTTTGATTTCTGACTAACCGCATCCCTAACTAAGTAAATAGTTGAATCCAACTTTTTAAAAAAGAAATGCAAGCCTGAAGCAAACCTAAATGAAAGCTGTACAGGTGGAAATAGAACAGGAGGTTAGTGGAAAAATACTAGGTCAGAACTGCATTGAGACACACTGCGGGCATTTCTTTGCAAGGACGTATGGAGGAAAACGGTTGGGGGTCTATTCAGAGCTCGTGATAATGCGGCTGTAGAGACTCACCCTGGCAGAGTTACATGGGTGGAACCCACCGGAACGATTTCCATTGACTTTCCCCAGAATTTGTTCTTACATCTCACATCTACAAAAGCAATAGTACAACTTAGTATTGATTCTGGACAGCAAGATATCTTCAGACACTGAGAATAGATATAATAATGACATTATCTGACTACCTTGCCAGAAGACAAAGTTTTTAGATTCTGCATGGCAAGCTGATATAGGCGGGTGATGGCTGACCTGATGTTGCAGAGAAGAACATACAGTATATTCAGTTCGTACAAATAGTCTTGCCTTTTCATCCATTCAGTGAGTACAGTCTAATGGAGGAATCACACATACCTGCTCTGCAACAAACCGAAAGCCTTTGTCTGGCCGGTCACATTCATACGTCTCCCCTAGGATCGGATTGAAAGGCTTTCCTCCTGTTCTGTAGTAGCTGGACGCATAGCCAGATACAACAAATGTGGCTATGTACATCTATGTAAAGAGAGAAAGAGAAACCAGAACTGTTTACACTGTATACAACATATTTAAAACTCTGGTGTAATTGTACTGAGACATGAGGGACTTCTCTGCACTTCATAATGGAAGGCCACAGACAGCAGCTTTCACCCCTCTGCACTTTGACCTATAATATTGTAGAGACTCTGTGGGTGTGTGTTTAGTTTGATCTTTTTATTGGTATTCTTTGAGTTTACTCATAGATCTTCATTATGGATTCTTTTTTTCCACCCACACAAACCGTTTGCTGTTCTCACGATCCCATTGTATCATTTATCTCTTGCGTTACAGCCGGCTGCTCAACACAAATTGCTCCTTGAGGAGTTAAAAAAATTGATGGTATTTCCACAGTGTCTTGTTCTTGTACTTCTCACTTGTATTTGTATAATTTGATACCGGAGGCTGTATTTCAGCTGCTCGCATGCAGAAGAGAGCACGTTTTAACAAACAAAATCAATTCCAATCAATGCAAATGTAAAACTGAAACACAGAAAAAGGGCATGATGCATCTTTTTTCGGGAAAAAAAAAAGATGGCCACGATCAGGGTTTCTCCCACATGAAACCTAGCTAAAATATCTGGAACAAGCTTGAGCAGTGGACTGCACCTCTGCCAATAGAAAGTGGGAGTCCCTGGACTAAGAAGAACACCAGAAACCATGCTTGATAATAACTGAAATCAGTTTTGGTCCTATCTGATCATTGCATTTTCCTTGAAATGCAGTCTATATTCTGCTGAGTAGAAATGGCCTTTACATTTGAGATTTATTGCATTAACATCTGCAATGCAGTTCAGAAATCCTGAGAAGTAGACATTTATTTTCTTTGTGCTGACTGGATGAGAAGTAATGCTAAAACTACGAGCTAGAGCTAAGAAGCATATCTACAATACAGATCTATTTGCCCATTCCAAAGTTTCTAAAATCTTTTGAAACCTATTTTCCCAAATATTTTGGCAATATTTTCATTTCTTATTCTCCATCATAATGTAACCAATAGATATATTTAGAAAAAAGAAGACAGATGGCATCGACTTATGTCTTACATTCACATTAGTTTCTGATAAGAATTGTTGTAGGAAGTGACACAACTGGCAGCAAATTGCTTTGTCAAGATAAAACCAAACTGAAATATATTTCCTAAATGAAATAGACACTGATACAGCAAACAATGAATTTGCAATCTTACCATACGTTCAAATGGGTCCAGTGTGTTGGCAGCTCTGTCTAGCAACTCGCTGTACTCCAGCTCCTCACACAGTCTCTGAAGGGTGTTGAGTGGCTCATTAAGATGCACAGGCATTGCTACTTTGGAGAGATCTTTGCCAATGTTGTTCCTGAGGATATTCCACAGGCTGATGGTGTTGTTGGTGGGGCTGGGTGTGGGCAGACAGGATCTACGCTGACAGAGGACAGAGCCCTCTTCCACAGAACCTAACAAGAAATAACAAGCATGGTGCTCAGGTAAGACTCCCTCAATTCAATTATCATGAGAAAAATAGGCAAATAAACAAAAACAAAAAAAATAAATTTATGGTTTATTTGGTAAATCTCCGCCAAAGCCAGTGCTGTATTCGGTTTACCTGAGTTTGGTCTATCGTTTTCCATCTCATTGCTGAAATTGTCCATGGAAATATTGTCACTAATGTCACTGATGTATGAGTCATCCTCAGATGCCTAGAAAAAAGAAACAACTTAAATTGTAGCTGCTAGACAGTATGCACATTTTTAAATAGCTGTCAGAAAATGACTGGGCAGGTCTCTTTCAGCAAGCTGTCATGTCGGCTCTAATTTCAATGAGCCTGAGATGAAGGGTTTCTTAGTTGCTGGTGACAAAGTTGTACTTAGGCTTATCATATTTTTAGATCGAAGTAATTAACTCCTACTTCCATATTGCTTCCGCTTAAGTTGCCATGTCTTCAGTCATGTTGCATGAATGGTGAAGGAGGAAATACCCAAAGGAATAAGACAGTAGGCTAATTTTGTGACACAGGTCAGAAAAATAGGATAAGAAAATGGCTTAATGTTGAATTCAATTATGTGGTTTTTAACTCTACAGAAAACCGCCTCAGAATTTTCTGAAAGTGCTTCAAAATATTACAATTCTTGCAGACATGGAGACACAGCTGAAGACAGTGACTGCCAATAAAAACATAGAAACTGATGTTTGTCAAGATGATTTTTCATCTCAGATTTTCACATCTGTTCTAGTCTAACAGATGCTGTAGCAGAGGTGGCAGTGCCAGTGTGCATGAGAGGAATGACTCCAGAGACCCACAACACTCATATTTTCATCATCGAGCATTGACAGTCATTGTTGTAACTGCACGCCACTGCCTGACTAAGTGAAAGACACACCAGTACAACAACTCATTGTAGCAATTCGTTACCAACACGTACCTCGTTTTCTGAGGAGCTGGCAGACAGGAGGACTTCCTGTGCATCAAAGAACTCAGACAGAGACTCTGCAATTGAAGCTCTGCTCTCGTTGGATACTTGGTGGACGAGGGCATGGGAATCATCCATCGAGTCTTGTTTCTGAGAGAGACAATGTCTACAGCTATAATAGCAATAAGGAAAGAACAACAGGATGATGCCCAAATTTGGCAATCAGAGTCTCTATTACAGAAAGTATATCATCAGCCCTATCTTACACTACCACTCTGTCCACACGTGTGAAATACAGAGGTTCACTGATACTGTAAAACAGTTGTCAAGTTATTCTCTGATATCACAGATGCTACTTTGGCATTCAAGTGGCTGTTTAGTAAGTATTCATTGAGAAAAGAAAGTTGTTGCCAGAAGAGATACAACACAACAGCAAAAAAGAAAGAAAGAAAAAGGACTGATAGAGGCTTGAAAACAACCAAAAAACATGCAAACTTTGCAAAAAAAAGGCTATTTTATTCTGTGTGAAAGTGACAACGGACATTAGTGCTCTATCATCCCTGGAGCCGATTAATTAACTTGGAGATTATCTCAGATGAGACGCATTAGTTTTGTGTGTTCACCAAATTTCCAGTGACAGTTAAGCAGATCAGCTCACACTGTCTTGTTTTCAAATCTGATTAAATGAGCAGAGAGCTTCCTGTAGAAGAGGATGATAAGGCAGGTAACCCCTGGTCTTCCTCTGGCCCGTGCTATAAGTGAGACATACGTACATGTAGAGTAAAAATGTATTTCATTTTCACTTTCACTCATTGCAAGCGGAGTTCAGGGGAGAGCTGAGGAACATTTGTTGGATTTGGATCAGAGGGCAAGGACAGCTGATTAGTTGTGAGGCAAATTCTAGACAGTGTGGGCTGTAAAATAAAGACAGAGATGATACTGGAGCAATCATCATGCTGGGGTGGGGAAAACCAACTGATTTCCAGCACCCACCTGCACAGGGGCAGAGAGGTTTATTAGTGTGGGCTCTGCGATGTGGGACTCAGCATGAATCTTGCTCAGACGCTCTCTCAGCTCAGAGTTCTGGGCTAAAGCCTGGAAACATAACCGTTGTAGACACTTTACGGCACACATCCAACCAAGGAGATATATGAATATTTTGAAAACCCTTCCTTGACTTGGAAGATTCTAAAGGTGAGGTTAAACAAGTTGCTGCAAAGTAATAAAGGAGAGAAATTTGTGAGGGATAGGGGCACTACTGCTCTGACATGGTCTGAATCATTTTGCCACTCATTTCCTTACTGACTGCTTGACAGTGCCTCTGGGTGGGAGGCTGCAACCACACGAAAACTTGACTGCTGAATGTGGTCTTATTCAGGTGGGCAGACATCACACCAGAAGCGTGTAATCGTTAGAGGCTCATCAATGTATCACGTCTAACAGGAGGCGGAGGGGCCTCTGAGAGAGTGTGAGAGTCCAAAGGAGGGTGGAATCCCTAACCCTCTGCTGACAGGCGTCTGAGTGCATTTTCACATACCGCTGCCAGTGTATTCTTCAGATTGACAACTTGTGGCGAGGTAGGGGGACACACTTCGTGATCCACACACTGTTTTAATCGCTCTCTCTCAGATGTTAGCGAACTCAGAGCTGACTTCATGGTTGTGTGAACTGCAGCAAAGACAGAAAAAGAGGAGAGAGATCATTTCACTGCAGTTCATTTCAGTGTTACAACGTAGCTCGAACTTACATGCACAGTGGTGGTTTGCAATAATGCTATAAATAGACTACTCATCAGGCCCCATTTTTCCTCTGATAACCTTCATTTTACCACATACTTCATTATCACTGCCTTTGAAGTGACCTGACTCATGAGCACATGCGTTATTAATTAATCACTCTGTTGGACTGAAGCCATTTCACATTCATGTTTTCATAATTTAAAACGTGAATAAATTGGACAGGTTAGCTGACAGCTGTTCTCTGGATAGTATAAATGTGGAACAAATTTGAAGTCGTTTTTCCAGGTGAATTGCTAGGCCCCTGAATAAATACTGTATTAACATTTATGTCTGAAATTATTATTAACAGCCATTGTTTTATTTAAAAGTTTCTCTGCAAGAAAGGAGATTTATGTATCTTTTTAGTTTTAAGCATGCCAAAGCAGTCAAACTATGTTTTATTAAAACTTTAGTTGTAAACGTGAAATACTAAATTAGCCTCAGTGGGAAGTGCTCTTTCTCCTGGCTTTCTTTATCTTTAACACTGTATGTACTTTCAGAAATAATATGATCCCTTTTTTAATAACCTTTTTTTAAAATTACACAATTTACAAAAAGTTCTAACATTTTAAACGTACATATCTGCAATAATTGATTGGAAAATATTCTAGTTGCCAACACAATAATCACACAGTTGTTGTGTTTATCAAAAAAGTGTTAACATGAACCCTCTGAGATTTTGGACTTCTCTTCAGCAATTAATCTAATGAAGCTAAGAAATTCATGCGCCAACATGTCGAAGCAAACACTCCAGCAGACTCAATCTCCATGGACACAGACTACGGAGGAAGCACTCCTTCAACAGAGACACACAATCTTGTCCACCCTTCGCTGAAGCATCACTGACAAGCTGATGAAGAAGACAGTTTGTAATCAGCAATGCTCTGGTCTGATGACATCTAAATGCAGGTGTTTGGACACAGGAGTGTAGCTCTTATTTGGTTAGACCTGTCTCATTTGGACAGAAGATGCACTCAGTCCAAAGAATAGCTTCCACACATGAAAGTATTCAAATGAATAATTTAATGCTCTCTGTTAAAGAGCGTTGCTAAAAAACAGAAATACATTATGCAATATTGAGATGGTAACCTCAAACCGCTTACAGGAAACTTCAGGATTATTGGACTTTTCACTCCAGCAGATGTCCTAAAAACATACCTTTAGGGAAAAAAATAAAAACCATGCAAATATTGTTCGTCAACCAGGGTCCAGACCAGAACACAGGGAGAATCTCTGGAGGGAATGTCTATAAACACTAGATAGAACGTAACCTTTCCACCTCAATAACCTGTAGACTGGCAGAAGAAAAGCGGTAAAGAATCCAAGGAGAGATGTGCAAAAAGCACTCAAGACCTTTCCACTGGTTGTTGATTAAAAATGAAAAGTAATTTTGCTTTTACAAAATGTATAACATACTTGATAAGCAGGAAAAAAACAGATTTTAAGAAAGAAACCTAGCCTAAATTCTAACCTAAATTAGGCCTTTATTTGAAAACCATGCAGGGATTATCTACTTTTTCTAAGTTTTCCAAAGCAGTTCAAATCAATTCACACTGCTGACTAGGTAAGTGTTATAGGAAATGCTGTCAGGGCAGTTATTTGAAATGGAAACTGAACCGAACTGTTCCATAAATCAATAGTTCTCACTAACAATTCGTGGCAACACGGTAGAAGTCCTCCTGCAGCTTTGCCACATCAAAAGCCGATTCCAGAGATTCGAGGTCAGCTTTTTCATTGATAAGAGCAGCGGTGGACAGGTTGGGGTTAGAGGCATGGAGGCGGACAGAACCGGAGGAGATGCAGCTTGGAACCTAAGAGAAAAGGGGAGAGAAAAACAGCTGCTGAAAAGACTGAGAAACAAAAATTGTACTAAAAAAGGCCTTTGTTGTCATGGTGTCTACCTGCAGAGTTGTCTTGACATCTTTGTTGTAGTTTTTATTGCGCCACTTCCTTGGAAGTCTTTTTTCTTTTTTGGGGCTGTCATATGTAGAGGCCTGGTAGACGTAAGAGAACATAGTGATGGCCAGATAGAGACTATTTTTAAGAGAGGAAATTGTGTCACAGCAGCTGATAGTTGCAAAGCCAAATAACATCTATATTTAGTAGCAGGTAGCTTCATAAAAAATTATAAAAGACGATTAACTTTGTTCTTTATTCGCAGGGATTTCAAGTTTTGGTTAGGATTTACAGGTTGCGAGTAAGCGCTGTTACTAAGTGTTCTGCATGTAAAGGTCACCCACACAGACCTGTAGTGCTTGGATGGATGGGGCAGAGTAAGTGCGGTGAAGGACTTCCATGCTCTGTAGCAGGTGGTGGAGCTCCAGCAGGTAGGCCTCACACACTGACAAATCTGGAAAGAGGAAGAATACAACTGATATTAAAAGAAGAACAAACATAAAAAAACAATAATCGTAAAGACAAAAAAGCTGTGATGCATAAACATGCCCCAGCTGGCTTGCCGGGCAAAGACAGACTCGACAAATACTTTCTGTGCAGGTAGAAAAAAATGCTTGCATATCCACAGTCAATAATTCCAACGCCCGGGGGAGAATGTTTGTGGACTTATAGAGCAGCTGTAAAGTTGTAACATGCAATTTTTCTTTTCCCTTTTACGCTATTCTCCTGTAGCAACAGGGGGGCTGTCTGTGTTTGTTTCCGCAAGATTCAGGGCTTCTAATGAGAATGCAGCTGCCTTTCATGATAAGGGCAAGGACACGTATATTAAACCAAAGGGCTCTCCATGTTACCACGATCAGAGCAACAATTTACATCCGTGCCTCACTCTGAAGAGGGGATGGTGAGTCAAAGTTCACATCAATCTGAGCTGTCTGCTTGTAAACCTCCATATATTTACAGCAAGATGAAAGAAATCCCTCTTTGAGCTTGCATACAAGAGTTAAATGGGTCTGAACTGTATAAGAATCCTCACAACATCATCAGTTATCCTGTCTTCAGATGTACAACCACACTGTTGCAAAATCACAACTTCTCATTTAAGGAGCATGAAGTCAGTCCTCACAAGAGAAAATTCTGTGTCAGCAAAAGGGCAACAACAGCCTGCCAGTCTTATGCAATATTTAAATAAAATTGCAGGCTTATGTAATTATTAGAAGTAGCAGAGGCTACAGAAATATCACTAAACAATGCAAAAGAAAAAGCTAGTGCTGTGAAAGCATATCCGTTCTTTTTAAATGTCCTTGACAACTTTACTTTTAATTGGAACCTTTTTTATCAAAACACATGAACATTTCATAATAATCTGTTATGTTTTAATCTAAAAACCCCCCCACCAGTTTCAGTTACAGAGTTCAGGATCAAAGATCTAATTAATCCACCAGCATATTACAGATTTAGTAAAAGTTTAATAATTACAAGGAAAACAATCAAAGTGTCTTAAAGCGAAGAACTGATGAACCATCATTACAAATCTGTGGGCGTATCCAGATGATGGCTTCTATTGCATCCACTGTGCCTGCCCCAGCTCAAGCTGATTCCCAGCCTTGCTGTACCAGCCGCAGCTGCTGGTTTAATGTCAGGCAGCTGACATTATGAGGACACCACAGAGCTGCAACTGAGAGCTGCATCTTTACCCATAAAAAGTCATTCACCAGGATGTCTTACTACAGCACATCTGATCACATTTTTCACTATGCAGTTGACGGTATACCATGCATAAATCAGATTCATCTGCCCAGGAGAAAAAAAGGGATCTTAAATGAGTAAATATTAGCTGTCGGTACAGTATGACCATTATGTTTGCTAGTCAGGCAACTGCTGGTGATGGCGTTCTCATGAGAAGCTTTAAATATTAAATATCTATTCTTCCTGCCTAAAAATGTAATGACAATGACAAAAATAAATAAATAATGCAGGAGAGTTAGAGGGAGTTATCTAAAAAGCCAAAGTTTCAGCATGTGATGAGGAATGATGTTTTGAATTCTCTGTAAGTCAATATTTGGTATATTTTCTCTTATCAAGTATCAAGAATCAATTTTATCCCATCACAGCTTGGAATCAAAGAACAAGTCACATTTTATATTTTGCCTGGAGATGCAAGGTAATAAATTCACATAGAAGCAGACACATTGACTTCACAATGCACTGGAAGACTCACAAATCTTGCGGCCAGCTCTACTGTCTCACCTTTGGAGCACTTGTCCATGTCGTCAGAGGACTGGAGCCAGGCAGCTACCTTGGCCTGGCTGCTGGAGCCTAAAGGAAAGGCTCCGGCGGCGTGCGCTGTGGACTGCCTCCGTATGGACATGCACTGCAGTAACACAGAGACTCAAAGGTCAGGCCAATAACAATTAGCTTCCTTCACAAAATGCTCCCAGCCAGGGATTGTAGGTTGTAGATTAAATGAATAATGAGAAAAAAACAAGGGGGATTTATTGTGTGAGTATCTACATTATTGAGAACACATAATAATCGTGTAACTGAGTGCTGTGAGGCATTCAGGCGTACCCTTCTGATGGAGGCCCCCTCGGCCATGCTGGGGGAGTTGGGGGAGGGGTAGTGGGGATAGAAGAAGGACTTCTCGTTGGGGCACAAGGCAATCTCATTTTGCCGAAAGAGCCGATGGTGACGCAGCTTCGACACCCATTCATCAAAGAGCTCCTGTGACTTAATCTGCAGGGCAGATCCCACAATTTGAAATTAACATGTCGCTGAAAAACACTCTACACAGGTGGAGAGCAGAGTGACTAATCAGTCCCTTTAAAATGACACAAAAGGACATTTTAAAGTAACAAAGGATCAGACTGAAAGTCTTAATTGTCTGCTGCTCTTTTAAGCTTGTGGTAAATAACTTGTGTTCCTTGTGGTTTACCTTCAGGTGATAGATATTTTCCTCAGCGTCAAGATCGATACACTTGGCTTTCTTCTTAATTGCCATAACGGAGAGACCCACATCAATGCAACCATGCAGCTTCCCTTTCTCAATCTAAGACATGAAACACGATAAGCATATCAACCCGAGCCTTGTACAAATGCTACACGATGCTGGTCTGTTTTTAAATTGAAAAAATAATCCCTTTATTGGCTCTTTACTTATGGCCAAGCTGATTATCTGCATTGGTGTTATTTAAGAAATGTGCAAAAGGAGACTCAGAGCCAATTTGATTATTTTGCGTCCACAGACTCAGATCATCAGCAGCATAAGAAGAAAATTATAGAGGAAATAAAATGTACTTTGAATTAATTAATTTATAACTGACAAGCCCACACAGTATACAGTATATCCAAAAGGATTTTGTACTCACGTCAGCACTGCACTTGCCATACTTGAGGACACCCTTGTCCAGGAAAAAGTATCTCTGTGGGAAGAGGGAAGGACAGGCATCACATGAAATGCAGCTGGAATGATATGCAACACTCTGGACAGAGAGCCTGAAGTCTGTTATGACTCTGTGACTGTGACAGACAGGGTCCGAATTTTGATAATGTATGTCTCTGCACTGATACGTTTGTCATCCCAGATTCTTCTCTTGGATCCGCCAACTATTCTTCAACATCCCCTCACTTCAATGTAATCTGTCTCCACTCTATGTCCAAATGTAATTCTTTCAGCTCTTACTGCCCATCATGTGAACCAGAATGGGGGTCAATACTAAATGTATACAGCTCTAGTAACCAACAGGCCATCAGCTAATGTATCCGAGTGGAAAGGCACGATATCTAAGCATTATCATCTAGGAAAAGCTTTCAGACGGGGTGTGAACAGGCACTGGCAAAGGTCACATGTGGCTCCACAGCAAGTGAAATCACTTCCAACTAGATCTCATTCAATTAGTTTAAAACACAAATGAGTCATGTCAGCAGGTTTTTCAAAGGGAACCTAAACGTGTGGAGGAAGGCTGGCAAATTGAATTGATGCTCAGATGTCATGGTTTGAAATATGTGGACCACTCAGAGAGCAGTGTTATGAGGCGCGGGTCTTTACAGAGGTCTCCTCATACCTTGTGCCAGCCCTTCATGGGCCACTTTCTCCTCTTCAGCATGTAGCCCTCCTGCTTCTGGGGCTGCAGAACGCAGCCAAAGCCTCCACGCAGACCCTCCACTATCTCCCAGCTGTCCTGCAGGTGTACATGGTTTATAAGAAACAGACAGGGTACCAGATGGTTTGGAAATGTAGAGTAAACCTATGCATCACACAGAGAAAGGCCACCACTGTTGAGGAATCTGCGTCAGAGTATGCAGGTTGGATCTGCTCTGAGAACAGGACACTACAGCCTCTCTGGGACACGCCCACAGATTGGCTGTCCAGTGGGGGGGGGGGTTTACATTTTCACCTCATGGTCCCATTTACTAAATTAGCTGATGTGTCTAATCTCACTCCTGACATTAATCATTATTTTGACTGCGATTAGAACGCTCAAGTCCAAATCCTCTAAGCAAACTCAGATTAAGATGATATTCATTGTGAGTTAATCCACATAACAGTGTTTGCGGTGCAGCAGTGATCATTCCAGGAAAAGCTTCATAAGCACCATAGCAGAATATGGACCACATTTCTATGGACATATCAAATACTGTGACTTGTGTCGTTTATGTTTTTGTCAGTTTATGACAATACAGAAACACATAAAGCATTAAGACTGAATTCTTTTCACCGTTAAATGATATTTACTGAATTATGCCGATATGAGAAAATCTTTGCATTCCACATTCAGGATTAAAATCTCAAGCAGAGACCACAGTTTAGACCACGGCTGTCCCCAAAGACTTTGGGTCTTTGGCAGAGATTTGAGGTGACTCTCAGTTTGTTGTCTCAGCGTGTTTGTGACGGCTCCAGTTAAACAGTTCTGGCTCACCAATCTGTATCAGTCAGACGGGCTGAATGCTGACGCCATTGGGGACAAAAAACATGCAACCAGGGAAGGACAAGGGCACAGCTTGTGGGCACATCTCTCAGTCTCCCTCAACGTTTGTCACAGCTTCCTGCTCTGACACAGTCACATGGTGAGTCACTATTGTCGCACACTGCCCGCCCACTTTTCTCCAAGGTCAAAAAACACAAACACAAGAAAGCAGAGACACAATGCCAAGACAATGCCCCGGGAAAAGCTCTCATCTTAAGAAAACTGTTCAATGGATAACATTGATACAGTATTAAACACATTCCATATCTTGTATCATCTGCTGCCGTTCAGGATAGTTGACGAGAGACTTGGCTTTATCCTAAAACAAGTACTGTACAAGCTCTAATATAAGATTTCATGATTAGATTTGATAAAAATATTGAATCAATTGTTGTGCCAGCTTGCCACAGTCTTTTTCCTTCTTAATTTCACCAGTTTTCTTCTCTCTCTCTCTCTCTAGGTCTCTGATGTGTGACTGCAGGCAGGTGCATGGTTACCAGGTGTCCAGCTGACGCTCATCAGTTGTCTTGCCGACTGAGAATATATGCTGTCAACCTCTTTCTTTCTGCTGCCAGGTTCATGGCTCCGCAACTTTTTCTAGTCTTTTCAAGGCAATACTATAAGTTTTTGATCAGTATGAAATAGAAAAATACATAATTCATCACCAGTGGGGTAAATCGAATTACGACTATCATATTATATCAGTATTGATTATACTCATCGATACTAATATATACTAATATGGTAATACTATACAATAATAATATAGTAATAATTACTAAATAATTAAATATTTTATCTGTCTGCACCTGTTTGTTTTCAAAACTCTGTAATGTAAAATTAAATATTCATCTGAAATCTTTATTTTACATTCCAGTCTGAAATTTCCAGGATAATTTCTACATTTTCTCCCTAACATTAAACCATCCCTTTGGAGTTTTGATCTTAATGCCCTTTATTAGATTTTCAACCACTGTTCCTGAGACAAATAGTTTCACATTTGGAGATGGACTCATTTGTCTTTTTGCCAGGAATTGGATGACAACATCCACAGCTTTTAACAGGAAGATGGTTAACTTGGTTTAGCACATGGAACAGGAAGAGGAACCAAACACCATTAATCCAAACAGAATGCATTTATCTCAGTGCAGGCCTCCCTGCCAAATGTTTCACATCCAGCTGATTTAGCCTGATAGCTGAGGAAAATGTTGATGGTTCAAATGGTGTCTGTGGTGATCAGAGTGGATGGACAAACTGATAGTGGTAAGTTTCTTATTGATCAGCACTGATTTGTTTTCTAGAACTTGTTACTGCAATTATGACAAAGCTGAAATAATGAGGATAAACATCTTGGGAATACAACTGATGGTGTTTGTTTTTGTGAGTTCATAAACAGCGTTTCTATTGTATTATAAGATCACGTTGAAGTTACAGAAGCAATTTTTCACATTTCCCAGTTTGTATTGTAAATCTTCACCTCATCTACTTAACTCACCTCCATCTGTCCTGCTCTCTCCCAGCAGAAAGGAGACAAGGACAGCCACAAGGACGCAGCAGGTGAGAAGGCAGCCATTTAATATGAGTTGCCCCTACTTCAGAACCAGCGGTTTAACCCATATTTCAGCTGCACCATCTAACTATTGTATGTTATCATTTTCTGACTGGATAGTGGACAAGGGAGATGTAAAATAACAAAAAAGACAAAAGAATTGAGATTCAGGTATTTCCAGACAGTGTCCTCTCTAACTTCCTTCTTGGGGATACTGAGGCATTTATCTTCCAGATTAGATATAAAAACCCATTAGTGAATTCTGGATCTACCCTGGCCACCTCCCAGCTGAGCAGAGAGACCTTCAAAGGACCATATCTTAATCAGATGTCAGAAAGATGTTGCCGCAATGGAGCAGAGGCTGTGCTCTGAGCTCCCCTTGTCTCAGAGAAATATATGAACAGTATTTCTCTGAGGCTCCTAAAAATAACTCACTGCCATTGTTATGCAATGTTGATACATTATCAAAGTCGATCAGCAATGCAATTCATTTGTTCGGTCAAAGCTGAGGTTGTTTATTCTGGACAGAGCATTAGTAAAGAATATGCCACATCATATTCGGTAGAACTGTTTACGATTCTTTTTTCACTCATCAAAATGGCCACATTTATGGGATTACCTTGCTAAAAGTTAATAACAAAAAACATGCAGTTCAGCTTTAATGATGAAAACATCCTTTTAATTGAAAGTTGAGACTTGGGAATAGAAAAGGGGCAGCACACGAATGGCCGCAGCCATGGCTGATTAAAGCATGCACGGCCTGAAACCGCAACAGAGCAACAGAGGCTATTATTGAATTCAAGTTTTTTGTTCTTTTTAATTTTTTTGCTAGTGGAAATGATTGCACAGTTGTTTATTATTATTCTGCTGTTTCCCCATAACGATTAACCAGAATGATTAACCAGAATGATTAACCAGAAACATGCCAGTCTCATGAGAAATATGTAAACAACAATTACTTTCAATTCCTAAAAAAAAGTATGAAAAAAAGTGGGTTCTGTGTGGAGATAAAAAAAGCAAAAAACAATTAGCTTATAATTACTATTGTGTACTCTATGATGTGTGTGAGAGAATACATTTTGAGGCATTTGTTGGTGGTGGTCTCACAGGAAAAAATGGAGGAGCAACTGTGCAGTTAAAAATGAGGAAAAGAAAATCAACACAAAACCTTTTTTTTGTAACTAGAGTTACCTGTCGGCTGTCGTGCTTGGATGAGGAGCTGCTGTTGCTGCGGGAGAGGGAGGGGATCTTCTGTGACATGGCTGAGCTGCGATCCTCTGAGCTCATGTTGGTCCACTGGCCGGTGTAAACTACAGCTTGAGTGCAAGGGACATACCTGCACTCAGAGAAGAAAAGGAAGAAAGAGAAGAAAGTGAAGAAAAGGAGAAAGGTAAGGATAGGTAGAAAAACGGCACATCTTTGAAAAACCTTTAGATGCCCATTGTAAACTGCGTTGGGTTATTTAGAGTTTTCAGGGTTTATGTAGAAGACAGATGGCTGAAAAGGGAAAAGCTGTTCATAACTTTTAACGTGAGCACACAATATCGACAGTCAAGACTGGAGGACATAAAATGGACTGCAACTAAAGAGACCGCAGGTTTAAATAATTCATATCATACCCTTTCAGAGAGTGATGGATTATTATTATTTCAAGATCCAATAAATTCAAAGTACTCTACCTAAAATACATATACCCAGCAGTGGAGGAGGAGATATTGTATTCAGACCTAAGGAGAAGGACAGAACTACTACATACATTAGGTTAACTGGTACAAAGTAGCCTAGTTTAAGGAGTTGAAATGTTTCATGAGTAATAAAGTGAACACAAAAACTTACCAAAACAGGTTAGTAACTAAAAGAAAATCACCAAATTGAATTTGAAAATATTTTCTTACCAAATATGTCAATCTTTTGATGAGATTTGTCACACAGAGCAAGTATGTGGATCGTTGACAATGTTTTACTTATGGGTATTATATATCTAATAGCATATTGTGACATGAAACTAGCAAAGTGACACTCCAAAGAAGATATAAGAGAGGCATGATCAGTGTTTCAGTAAATGTCATTGAGTGGTGGTTGGTATGACACCACATCTCCACATGACATCTCAGTAATGAGTGGAATAAAAGACAAGTGTCACATGTAGGGATGCTGTGAGATGATCACTGAAATGTGAGATCATCACTGCAATAGAGTGTGAAAATAATTGGGACTCATAAAGAAATGGGAACCTTCAGCGAAATGCCGCGATACATACTGTCTAATTAACATTATGCCACTGCTCCGCTGTGTCAACACATAAAAACACTAATTCAGTCTGAGTGGTCATTTGTCATAGTACAGAGGACTGATCAGCAACCAGGCAGACTTTGTGTCGGTTGATATTTCGACATTGACACTGGTAGCTGGTAATCGGTTTGTCTTTACTGAGTATGTGAAGCAACACTGGCTTTGCAGGCCATTAGGCCTGAACTCAAGTCAAAGGTATGTAACCTGCTGATAACGCGTGATGGTTCATTTTCATAAAAAAGCATTTCTCAAGGTTTTAGAAAAGGATGTGTTGTTTTATGTAAAATCACCAGTCAATCTTGTACACATCCACAGCACTAGTCAAAGGTTTGGAACACAACATTCAGTTTGAGGCACCATTACAGTAACCTTTAGTAAATCCTTGCATACTAGGTGCCATAAAACGATTCTTGGGCCTTAATATGGCTGTGTATGAAGATACATGAATAAAATAATTGGCCCCACCCACACTACATCTTTACCCGAGAGCAAATAAAACTCTGTCCTGTTTCCCCTGTCTTGACATCACTGACTTTGCTATAATATATTCTGACCAGATTTAATATTCCTGCAATTTGTAAGCTTTTGATGATTGAAGAAGGGAGAGATTGAAAAGGATGCACAGTTATATCCAGAGACTTTCAAGTAGGGGTATTAGAGTTGTCATTATTCACTTAACTTTTTTCCATAAAACCAGTAACTACCAACAGTACATAATGTGAGGCTTTAGGTTGACAAAGTGTTTCTTTAAGGTAATAGCAAAAACCTTGCACAGTGGTAATGAGATTTTCACATGAGGTGCGATTAAAAAGTGAGACACTGCCTCTGGGTGACAAAAAAATTGGCCTGCTGCTTGTCAGCCAGGGCCGCTCTCTGGTCCCAGCTACACGCACCAAGAGAGTCACCGCTGGAGTACAGGAATTACAAATGAGAGCAGGACAGAAAAAGATTACTCACCCGTTATGGACATGCTCAGTGTCATCTAGATAAATTGTTGCAAGGGCATCTAACGTAATAATGAGAAAGTCATTTTCTTAGGTCGGATTTTATTCGAAACAAAGCCTGTCGTCTTTTTGAAGGTACATTAAAGTGTCAGAAATTTTAATCATGTGCCATAGTTTGACAACTTTGGTTGAGGTATGAAGATTTACGGAACAAAATGTCATTTCCAAACAGAGCATATCAGATCTGCCATCTTTAAAACAAAAGCTTAACAGTAGCTTCTCCACCTTGCATATTCTGACTACGCATTTCATCTAATCCTCATAGAGCATGTCTTTGTGGCCCCACCCAGGGATTAGTAAGGATTGGCTCCTCCAATTTTGACAATGTAACATTCAGGCTGTCTGACCTCACCTTTCGGAGATTAATGGAAATGCTCTGCATATTCAAAGCGGTAATAACCAGTCATAGCAATGATGGCTGATATTGCTTATGACATGTCAAAACTAAATAAAGCAATAGAAGCGTAAATTGAATATCATTTTGGCATGTGACAAAGCTAAGAACTTGATTTCTATTGAAGTGTGACTTGAATGAACAGGCACGTCCAAACATTTTATTGGAATTGTATATCCATCCATCCACTTCCTCCTGTCTATTGTCACAAAGGCTGGACCAATTCAAGCTGTGCTTGGATGAAAGGATGATTCCACCTGGACAAATTGCTAGTCTATCATAGGACCAACATAGAGGGACAGATAACTATGCATACTCACGCGTATCTATTTTAAATTTTTAGTTACCAATTGATATGCATGTCACTGGACAGCGAGATGAAACCAGAATGCACTGTGCCGGAGATTATTTTTCTTTGCCTTGTAGGCTTGGTATGGCAGAAATTGCAAAGGACACAGGGTGTTTGCCTTTGCAGCAAAACCCACAAGTAATGTCTCCATCGACTTTTTAAAATGTCAGCAAAACACTGCCAGACAAAAGGTTTTTGTCTCTAATTTCCCCGTCAAAGTCGCTTTTACTCCTTCGCTTTAACCCCTTCGACTGCTTTTGTTAAAAGCAGTTTATGATCTCATAAATTGGGTGACTGTCAATCCCAAATGATGAGAAATAAAGCCGACGGTGGTCAAAGTGATGGTTTATTGAGCTGCTATTGTGTAGGTTAATAGAGGTAGTAAAACATTTCCTAAATGGTTCCTCTGGTTTTAAATAAGTGTGACTGAATAAATGCCTAATTACAATACAGTGGATCATATTTATATTTTTTTCATTTGGTCACTGTTCTGATTTGTATTGTTAATTACATATAATCATCTAAAATGAGTTAGTGACAAATTGCGATTTTCGAATATAAATAGACATGTGTTCACATTTGATGTAATTGTTTTATAATGGAAGTTTTCCAGGATGTAGCCTGGTTGCATTAAGCTGGTTTAGAAAATGGATGGGTGGATGGAAAGTACATGGTCCATGGGGTTAAAAAGGGTGCTAAAAGCTTGTAAAAAGAGCTAACTCTTATTACCAACGCCTCTTCAACAGAATAAGACACCATGAGTTGAGTTGGAAGTAGCAACAAGATAAATCACATTATCTGCCCTGCATCAGCATCATTGTAATGGAAAGAGCGTTTGGCATGAGACAAGGGCCCACCACCGATTCTGTGTCTGTGGATCACGAGCTGTTGTTCACATTGACAGGATCCCCAAAATGCAAAGCAGTATATCTTATGCACTTTTCTGCTCAATTAATGCAAAAAGGTACAAACTAAACTGGGCCAGACACAGTTTGTTGGACCAACAGCAATGATTTACAGAGCACTAAATGTAATCTATCTATCTTTCAACTCTGTGCTCCCTTGCCATCCCTCATGATTTATTCATCCTCTTTTCACTAATCACACCAGCTATGTGCAGGTCTAGAACACTGTCGCCCTGCAGGGCGCCTGTTCATCTTATAGAACAACACCACTTCTAGGCTTTCCTTGAGACAGCAATGTTAGACATGAGAGCTCTACTAATCATCTTTTCTCACTTTGGAGCACTTCCACTATGGAACTACAGTTTACTGTAGGCGTGTTTACAGGTTAAGGCTATAGCAATTAGGGGTTTTACTTCATTGGACAGTCAGCGCTGTAACTTATAGCCTGAGAAAAACAGACACATTTAAAAGTTGCCTCACTAAGGGCTTGCCATAATCATAAATTGATGTACTTTAGGCTCATAATGAGGACTTTGAATCATGACACCAAAGTTCCGTTAGCTTTGCAACTTTTGCTGGAGCCAAAGTAAGAAGGAAAGAGAGGCAGGAGGGAAACGAGAAGGTAAGAAAAAAAGCGTCTTTGACTGGGGTCAGGAAATCCACAGGAGAGGTGTCCTGTGGCTTTTTTGCATCATTGACAGAAAGATGATGTTGTTGTGATGATGTATGACTGTGATTCATTAATAGATTCCCATAAATCAAGTATAATTCAACTTTATAAACAAAATCGGCACCACAATACGCTGACAAGCAACATCTGACTCTCTGGCTTACTGTTTAAATAAAAAAATCTGTGAGCTGTTTAGATTAGCTTATAAAAACGACAGGAATAGCCTGTCAGCAAAGCTTGAGCTTTAGTCACGTGATGGAGGAATTATGTGAGGTTTTCTCCTGCCCGCTAGCTGACCGTTACATGACTTCAGCATTACAGACCTAAAAGAGTTATTCATCCATGGATGAAGCTATGAGGAAATGTTGAGTCTTTAAGAATTTGCAAACTGTTCAAGGGTTTCTCAATCAGTTTTGGGTGGGAGAGTGTGAGCTCTGAGTCTTGCTACCATCAATAGAATATGTTCCTTGTTTGATATCAGTATATCAGAGAGAAACAAAAGGGTGTACTTGTGAAATAGAGCGTGATACGCTCTCAGGGTGAAAATGTCAGTATCTAGACAGGTGAAATTCCCATTCATGGTCAGAAATGGAGCATGCCCTGGATGAAGGCCGGAGCATTCAGCCATATTCAAGACGACAACATTTGAATCACTGTGTCACTGACCTGATCTGATGAGTGCAGCTCCTTATTATCCCACTAGGTGATTGCCTCTGATGACAGAGTGACCATTCTCTGA